AGCGGGTGGCAGGTGGTTGGGAATGTCCTGAGGACAGCAGCTCCCCACCAACAACTCAGATGTTAGAAATGATACATTGTTCCAGTCTGACTTTACCCAGATCCGGTTTGTTCTGGGTGCCCTCCTGTCCTTTTGCATGAGTAGCTTTCTGCCCATTATCTGTGCTGTTTGTGTAAATTGAAAGATAATTATTTCCCTTCCCTGGTTTGTACAGTCTAGTGAAACTATCCAGTATCTCATGCTGGATCTGTACTTCCTCTTACATTATACCAGCCATTCTGAGCACCACTTTGAGTTTTTAACTCACCTTTTTTGAACACAAATGACAAAAATTACTCCATGTGGGATGTGAGAGACTTTTGTATGGTGGCCTATTCAAACAGAAAAATACCTAATTTCTTATATTCTAAGGTCGCATGTACTTTATTCTCTGCCCCAGCTGCAGTGTGGTGGTAACTTTCAGTAAATCTTGGATGCTGTGCTACACTTTTGTGTGGTGCACTTTTCATCTTACCAACCTATGAACCACTCTTGGGAGCACACTGTGCTTTATAGCTTGGTAAAGCACATGATCTTGCATTTCATATCAAAACTTAATCTAATTTCTTTTACTTTGTGACTCCCACAGCAATGTTTGTCTTTGAGCTTTACAGATAAGTCTGTTCATAGAAGAGCCTGATTTTGTTTCTATTCAATGATAATCCCACCTCTCTTTTATACTCATGATATCTGTCCACTTTGTGTTTGTGCAATGTGCCATTGACAGAGCTCCTGTTGTGCTGAGGTCACTTACAAAAACATAAAGGCCTGTTCCACATGTATCTGAGAGGACTTTGGCTAGTCGCCTCTTTATAATTTTTCCTTTCAGACCTGCTTTTTGTTACCTCCCCTATGTCTTGCTTCTTACAACTGGAGAGGCAGTCAGGTAGTTCAGCATAGCATGCAAGGAGGTACTGGATAAAGTGCATGTGCTGCTCTAAGGTGGTTCATTGCAAAGAGGTGAGGAGTGCTACACTGTCCCTTCTGGGGTTTGTCAGCCACTGTGGCTTTCTTCAAGAAGGGAAATAAATTTCTGTCTTCTCTTGCTCCAGGGATGCAGCACACAGAGTCCACCCACTTGCAGGACAAGGAGTGAACCTGGGCTTTGGTGATATTGCATGTTTAGCTCATCACCTCAGTGCAGCAGCCTTCAACGGGAGCGATCTGGGTAAGGCTCCAAGGCAGCATTGGGGCAGGAAAGGATCAGTCTCCCAGGCCTTTGCTGCAGTCCCTCTGGTTAGCATGCTGCTGTCTTGTGTTTGAAAGCTTTGTTGAAGTGAAGCAGTTCTTGATTCTTGGATGCAGTTTCCATCCACGAATCTTAAAGCTGCTTTAAAAAAAATAAAGCTCTGCAGGATGGCAGTTAGAGATGTGGTGGGATGAAGAGCACTAGCTGGTGGAAAGAGGTGTTTATTGAGATGAACCATTTCTCTGTTCTCTTTCAGTTCCCAGAGGAAACTGCTCTGTATTTAAGATGCACAATTGTTTGTGGCACATCAAGTGTAATAGAAACATTCAATTATCTCTTCCAGGCTCCTTAAAACACCTCCTCAAGTTTGAAACAGAACGTCAGAGGCATAATGTCTCCTTGTTAGCTGCTACTGATATGCTAAAAAGGCTGTACTCTACCACACTGGCTCCTCTGGTGTTGCTGAGGACATGGGGATTGCAAGCAACAAATGCCCTGCCTCCTGTCAAAGTAAGGATCTCACTTACTTCAGTGAGGGCTGTAGGAGTTCATTCTATTCTACTATTCATGAAACATGCACAAGATGTAAAGATCTTTATTTGTTTAAAATGAAACATTTTTGGTTGGAAAATACTATTTTAAACTGGGGGGTTTGTGTCCTGAATGGGCCCGAGGAGTTCCTAAATAACTGATGACTCAGTAGAGACTTTTTTTTTCCCCCCTCCAGCACAAGGGATATAAAAGATCTAAGTGTCTTATATTCTGTATCAGTAATTAGGAGTTAGAGGTCATCAGAAATCTTTGGCTTTATTTTGCTATGGAATTAGTGTCAAACCTTGAATTGTATTCTAGCAATGGACAGAGAAGACAGGCCTGTGAAGAAACATCTTCACTAAGAGATTGGGTGAATTCCCAGATGCAGTGTGCAGCCCACACTTAACTGTTTCTGTGCTGTTTTGCCTTGTGAATTGTTCCCTCATGGCAGAAGTTCAAGGCTCTAAAATGGCAATTACCTGAGGAAGGTGGTGGTGAGGAGTTTTTGTCTTAGACCCTCTGTTTGCAGCCCATCTGCCTGAACTTCTCACCCTCTTGACCTAGTTGTTGGATTTTTGTGAGGTTCCTTAAGCCCTCTGCTCTCAAAGCTCCCAAGCACCAGCAAATTAGATTCTCATCTTTGGATTTCAATTTTTACTTCATTTATTCTCCATCTTTATATTAAACACAGATGCCCTGTTTCCTTTGTGTCATGGTCACAGTTGAGACACTTCCTCAACTGAAAATCAGTACATTCCTAAGGCAGAGCAGCTGCCACTGACACACTGTCTTCATTAAGGAGGACTATGCTGCTGCTTCAGTGCTCACAAGCTTTTTTTCTCTTTCTCTGTTTAAAAGAAAAAAAACAGTTGAAGGTGTCTTTTTCTGAGCACAGAACCCATTGGAATTACCAGTTTTGTACTACTTGGGAAGGACAGGAATGCTACAATTTTGTTAATTTTCTGGGACGTAGGGATAGGTTCTCTGTGTGTGGCTAGAAAGCCTGGCCAAGAACTGTTGTTCATTTATATGAATGGGAATGTGCCTAAAGGTTCTTTCTAAAACACATGCTTATGAATTACTTCTCTTTTTCTTCTCTTTTAGGAGCAAATCATGGCTTTTGCCAGCAAATGATCTGTTGTCAGTCTACCTGTCAGCAGCTTGCCTATGAATGCATTGCCTTTAAAAGGACTGTGACTTACTTGAATCTTTGAATTTTTATTTTAATTTACAATAAAACTGAGGGATTGAGCTGTGTATTACATCATCCACTGGTTTATGCAAAAGCTGTCACATTTGCCCTCCTCAGGAGGATTTAGGGTTTCTTTCCATAGTACCATGATGTCTTCAGCCACAGAACTAAGTACAGTATGTGCTTTTAATCTGGGCCTCCTGAATTGAAGACTGAGGTGCAAACAGCTGTCTGTCTTTTGGCAAACACAGTGTTGAATTTTGCCAACTGCTGGCTAATTTTTAACAGCTTTTGCTGCTTAATTACTTTCAGTTTCTTCTGATATGATTGCTAGAGCTGTAACATCACTCCTGGCTTCTTGGCACCTCAGCTCAGACAGAAGGGGTAGTTTGCAGCAGAGAGAAACAACACATGGTGGCAGATATATTTTAAAACTCTGTCTGTTGTTCTTTCACCCTTTTCCCTGCCTTTCTCTTGGTGCTTTATTTAATAATGGTGTTTCTTGTGGAAATGGCTAAGGGCTCCATGGGAAAGATACAAGGCAACAATAATATCCAGGAAAGAAAACTATACCACAACATCTTCAATATTGTTAAAAATGCTTTAATTACCAAAATAGACAATTCAAGATATTCTGTCTTCAGTTCCAAACACCAGCATCTTGCATTAGACATTTGCCACTCACAAAATTAAACTAAGCACTGCCCATGGGCAAGATTTACACATATGGGTGACCAGTATCAGAAATTAACATCAGAAAGAATGAAACTGAAGTGAAAGCTATTACTTGTGCTTCTGCAGTCACTCATATTAGGCAGTCCTTGTTAGTGCCTGGCTCAAAGACATTACAAAGGAGGAGATAAAAATCAGGGCTGCAAGTAGAGCTCTTCTCTTAAAAGGCTGCTTACTCTTTAGTTTAGGTAATAAATAATCTCATTGCACTAGGGTAAGTGTGAGGACTTGACTGGGTTGTCCAGATCCCCCCACCCACTTCAGTTCAGATGTAAACAGCAGGGGCTCAATTCTGCAAATTCTTGCAAAAATAAACCTTTTAACAGAGTTTTTTGTTTCTCCCATAACTGAAGGATCATGCCAGTAACAGAGAGCAGAAGTTCTACTTCAGTTAACGAATTTTGCCACTGACAAATGAAGGCCCTGAGCATTCAGATTAAATGCAACTTTGGTACTGGGAAGCAGATACTACCCCCTAGCATTTGTAGTACCAGAGTCTGAGGAAAAGAATGTAGAAAAAACAACTTCCTCTGCATGGTACCCTTCTTCTAGCCCCTCCTTGCTTCAGGCAAAACCCAGCCCTCGAGCCCTCCTCAGGGCTGGTGTGTTTTCAGGGGGCAGATAACACTGCTGCTTCTCCCTTGGGTAGAGCATCCTACCTTCAAAACACAGCCTCACTGCTGCCAGCTCTTAGCCCCAAGATCCAGGAAGAGTTTGTCATAGCACTGGCTCAGACTGAAAGATGATTTCTGGATTATTAAAATAGCTTGTTCTTAGGGTAATGCAGCCTGGCCAGTAACCACTGCACCCTACTTTGTGTTTTCTGAGAATACAGAAGTGTTCACTGAAGACATAATGAATGCATTTGCAGTCACCTTGTTCTGCAGACCAGACCATATACCAAGTTTCGCCAACAGTAGGAAGAGGAATAAGAAATGTTTATGGTTGAGAAGAGGCTGCAATAACTTCCTTCGTGTTCAAACAGAAACTTCTAGAGAGAAAGGAACAGAACTTTGGTGTGACACAGGAATTTCTCAATGTGGATCTCAAACAGATTCTGGTAAGGACCACACATGTAGGATGAGCATGTCCTGTTTCAAAAAAGCAGCCTGAATTTATGGCAAAGTGTCAGTGATGAGATAAGTATGGATGGCTCCATCTGCAACCCTTGGCTTCTTGTTGCTGACTGAACTTGTTCAATCAAAAGCATGCCTTGCACCCTCGTGCTGTAAAACCTGAGATATGAGAAGTGGTAGCTTCATCAGCCACAGGCAAACTTGCACTGCTAACTAGAGGAAAAGGACTAATGTTCACAGTAAGGCAAATTTCTAAGTCTCCAAACTGTTTGGCAAGACCATTGAAGACATGAGTGCATGATTTCCTCCCCTTGCTGGGAATTACCAATTATTTTCAAATCCAGTTTGCAGAGAAGGCAGCGTGAGGGCAGTCTTTGGTTTGACAGAAAGGTGTTTTAGAGCAACTGGGACACTTGGTAACTGCAACTGCCCATCAGGGAAATGTTCATCACAAGACATCAGTGGCTAGAAGTTTCCCTTAGTCACATGAGCAATACCTCTTTGTTGTGATGGGGTAAATTCACCTGTACCTTACACATTCCTTGAAGAGGTGAAGAGAGCAAGCTGCCAGTTGTTTCATGGGGGGAAGACATCTCTACAGCTGTTTTTACTTAGGGCAATGGATGGGTTTCAAATGGGAGACCACACCTTAGAGCTCACTCCAGCAAAAGGGACTGTGGTGCTCAGACCTCTTGCTGGCCCAGCAGGCCTTGCTGGGCTGTGCCTTGCCTGCTGTCCTTGGGATAGCACCAGACTTGACTCTTGGGTGAGCACCACCTCAGGTCAGGTGTCCTGAATCAGTTCACACAAGAACCTGAGGAGCACCAGCAGCAGAGGGAAGAAGGCTGTGGATGTGCCTTGCTGAGAGCAGAGAAACAGAGCTGGCTCTCACAGCAAACTGAGCTGTCAGATCAGCCATTTCATCTGACTGCAATCTCCTTGTGGGTGGAATGTGACAAGCTCATCTTCTGGCAGTTTCAATAGCTGGCACTGCTGCCTCGTTGTGCCAGCACAACTATGTGTTATGACTACATGCTAAATGAATAAATTTATCAAGTCTGGTAGTCAGATGTATGGTGTAGCTGCACAGACTTGGAAAGGGCAGCAAAACTGAAACACAGGCACACCTTCTGCTTAGGAAATGCCTACTGCCTAAAAACTGCTTGGTAAATGACTATGTTTTAGCCAGCACCTTTCCCAAAACCATGCCCAAAGTGTACTTACAGCAGGCCCTTGAAAGACTGGAATATTCTTGCCATGTATTTGCTAAGCTAGCAGCTGGATTTTTGGAACACTGAGGTTGGCAGCATCCAGAGTTGTTCACTTTTCTCTGCATCACTGTTGATGCTATTCCTAATTTCTGTATTTAACATCTCACAAGCAAATTTAAGTTATTTATGTTTAAATAGAAGGGGGTAGGGGAAGTCATGTGTCTGTAGTCTGCCACCACATCCAGGAACTCTGTTCTTCTAACAAACTTGCTGGTGAAAGCTGATTTTGAGCCCCTTGCTTATTCTCCACTGGAGTTTAGACCTTTTGACTTTCTTAAGGCAGATTCTGGATCATTTATGGCAATCACAGTTATAAATCATACTCTCATTAGGCACAATGCCAATCCAGGGTAAAGAGCTGTCATATATTTTTGGTCCATGTTCTGCTCTGTGACCAGTCCAGCTGAACACTATACCTGGAGATTGCAATTTACTTTCTCAGCATTTTCAGAAATGCTGAAGTCCACAGCAGTATCACAAGTCAATAAGTCATTCCCAGAGACTGCAGCAGGTAAAAGGTAGCACCCAAAGTCCAGCTTGTCTCTATGTTGTTTACTTTCTTTGTCAACTATAAAAGAAGAAAAACAAGTTATTCCTGACAGTTCTCTAGATTCATAAGTTACACAAATGACAGCAACTACATGTTATAAATCTGGAAAGATTCAGTAGATAATTAGTCAGAAAAATTAACTAATGCATGTTAATCAATAGGGATTTAACTGATTTTTCTCACCTTTAAGACTGTGTTGTCCCTAAATCCAAAACCTTCCTTTAATAAAGCAGTGATGTAAGTGAGATCCATGCAGAGGAAAGGACTGGCTGAGTTGTACCTCTCCATGTTATCACAGACTAGAGAAGGAAAAAAGAAAAAACAAAGGGATCTCAGCAAAATAAGAACTTTTATCCACATTGTACATTTGAAGTGAACTCAAGCCAAAGCTTACTAAAACAAGCCACCCTCTTCTATTACTGGTTATGCATGACACATGGTACACACTACAGAGCTTCTACAATGTAGTGACAATAAACCATATAGTACATCAAGTTTCTCTTAACTCCAGTAAAACTACATCTTTTATTACATCAACATGATCCACACAGCTCTTTTGAAGAACCTTTGCTCATGATAACTAGCTGGGTGTTGGATTACTTATTTTTTCAGGAACACAGCATCACTTGTTTTCATCTCTCCTCCATGGATGGATCCAGTAATGGATTCCACTTTCTAGGATGGCAGTTGAGTTTATTTTTCCAACCACACTTGTCTAAGGAAATGGAAGAGGCTATTGCCCAACCACCCACTCCTTTGCTGCAGCTAAGTCAAGATTCTGTAGTCAGGGTGGCAGTGACTGGGAAATGTGTTTACACTAAGGGTCATGTTCTACACCTACTGTCACTGCCCTGTTCTAGCAGCAGCAAGAGCAGGGTTCACTTCCTCCTAAGAAAAGATAAGCAGCATCCTTCTGCTATTGAAATGAGATAGAGAAGAATTAGTTAAGGCTCACAGAATTGATCTCCTGATGGTCTAAAGCTAAGTAAGTGGTTTGATAATGTTAGGTAAGATCTTAGCTACGTCTTTGGAAATAAGCTCTCTCACTATCCAGGGAAAAAATAACAACCAACCCACACTCAAACTTTAGAGCCTAATCCCCTATTCAAAATCGTCCAAGTTTCCAGGGAGATTAAGTTTAACTGAAAAATCATTAAAATTTAGGCCTTATTTTAGGAAAAAAGTCAGTCCTGAACTACGTAATTAAGCATCTTCTGCTGAAAAATATGGTATTCTCATTGTCTTGAGAATGATCACAGTACAGAGGTTATTTGCTTTTAGCCATCAGCAGCCAAGCAAGGTGGGAGCTCTTTATCCACAGGAGGTACAAAACTAAAACAAGCATTCAGGAAAAAAGAGAGGGGGAGGTAAAGGAATGTGGAAGAGGTTGCCAGTCTTAAAAACCCTCTCCCTCCATTTTGAGATTAAATAGGATTTAAGGTGACAAACTTACAGAGTTCAGTGCTCTCTTAAACTCAGAGTTGCAGTTTGACAGAAGCTCTTGATGCAGCAAATTCATTTTCTTTTGTAGTGACTCTATGAACTACCTCCTTCTCCTGAACAGAGCTGTAAATCCACCAACCCCTCACTGCTCTATCAGTATTGTCTTCTGCATTAGTTAGTCTTTGACTAATAAAAGTAACATGACAGCTGTAAGTACAATAAAGGTTAAATAAATTTGCTTTTCTTCCAAGTCACATTATGTGCTGCCTACACATTGATATTTTTGTTATTTCTTGTCCAAACCAGTTTCCCTGCTCATGACAATTACCTTCTTTGGCTTTTCTTTCAAAATCTCTCACTTCCAAAACACCTCCGTGTTCATAATCTGAAAAAGATGTGAGAAAATATCGTCATAGACCTGACAGCATTTGAATTCTTTATCCAACTTGACCCTAGAGCAACTCAGGGATGCTGCACTAGGAGTGAGACCTGCTTGGAACAGAAGACAGTGCTGCAGGTGTGACTGGAGCCTGGAGCATATTTCATGTGCTGAACACCAAACTGCAGTGACAGATAAATGTCATTCCCTCGAGGCATTTTGTGTATCTCCTCTTTCTCAATAACATTGCTTTCCTCTGCTCCCCATGGCTCCAGCCACCAGGGTTCCTCTGTCACCTTCTGGAAGACATGCTCACGTGTAGGAGATTATCCCAAATTTACCAATTAGGTTGGTGTCAGCTGCTCGATCATAGTAATAGGAGAAAGCATAGAAGGAATTTCCACGTATCTCCTCTGGCTGGTGAAGTTTCCCTTTGACAACCTTGAGTACTTCCAAGTAGCAAGGCTTGAATCCTGTTTCTCCTGTCAGGAAAAAAACACAGACTGGGTGAGCCAAAGAGCATATGCAAGAGATGGAAGTAATAGTGGCAACAGGATGAAAAATTAAAGAAGCAGAGATTAAAGCATCAGAACAGGAGCTTACATATCCCTTCTGTGATCCAACATGGCATCTACACACAGGCAAGGACTCTAAAAGCCCCTCACCAAGGAGAACTGGTTAGAGCAGATCACTGCTATGTCTGAAAGAAGGGCCACACAAACTACTTCCATGTCAGGCAAAACTTCCATTGACATGTTCTGTGGCCAGCAGAATCTTCTACATTTGCTGCCACTTGTTAGATAAAACCTTGCTTTCTCTCCCCAGCACACTGTAATTTTACCAACCTACTCCACACACATGAAATCTGCAATTCAGCTCTCATGTCTCCAGTCTGTTCAAGTCTATGATTGCAGCAGACTCACTCTCTCTACACAGCATTAGAGATTTATTATTATTAGAGACTTAAGAAACAGTTCCACAAGTGAGATTAACTGGTAGGCCAAAATGTTTGTACTCTAACATAAACAGAATTTTTGCACTTTGCTCAAAGCCTCAGAAAAACCTCTCTTATTTGTACAAATAATTCTAAACATTTCCTATAAAGGTATGATTTGTAACAAGAGATCACAGTCAGAGGACAGGGGTACAGGTCAGCTACTCTTACAGCTTCAGATTTTAATCTGGATTTCTCAGAAGTCAGCCTTTGCAACTGGACAGATATCCTTCATATCCCAATCATCATCAGTTAACTGAGGAAATATTTGACAAGAAAAAACTCAGATTCTGGAGATAAGACTTATTGTAAAAGAAACAAGTCTCCTTAATTTACCTTCTTTGTTGCCACCATATTGATATTTCACTCCCCCGAAGTGCCACTCTGCCTCCAACTGCTTAGGCAAACAAGAACTGCGGAACATTTGTCCATCCACAACTGGAAAGAGAGCAGAGAGGAGAGTCAGGAAGCACAGAATTTAACATAGCTATAAATCAATAGCAGAACCAGAAAAGCCTGAAAGATCTTCATTAAAGTCTTTAAGCCAAAGTACAAAAATCTGAATTGATGGATGTGGCACTAACTGATTACAAATTAAGGACCAGTTTCAAATCTGGAAAAGTTGTGTCTGATTTGTCCTGCAAATAGCAGAGCAGCTAGGCTTGTCATTTTTTAATGAGATAAATGGTACAAAGGTATCTGGATAATGGCTGTTCACCACAAAAGACAAGAAATGAGAGGTGATAAACACACAGATGCACAAACCCTAATGACAGCAGATAACAAAGACAAACAAAGCAACTGAGCAACGAAGACAAATCCTCCTAAGACAGAGATCAATGGCCACTACAGCATCCACTGAATGTAACCTTTGAGGGGTTCAATCAGAAATACTGCAACTGATAAGAAGAAAACATGATTATTGCTGAACACACAGGTCTCACAGAAAAAGCACACTTCTAACAGTATGCTTGAGGCAGACTCTGGGACAGCAAAATTTGCTATGGGATGCTTAGGGAAAGGCTCAAAGGCTGGGAAAAGGGGGAATTAAGGGATCAGGGAAGTGCAAGTACGGCAAACCAGAGGAGACTATAAAAGAAGACAGTCACAAGTAAGCAGGTCCATGTGTTTTTCTGTCTGAGCCTTGTGACCAATCATTGCAGTCTGTCCTATCTTCTTCTTAATCCCTACTCCCAACTATTTCTGATTTGAGTACATTTCAGTAATTATCACAAGTCCATCTAGCTGTCAAGTAAGAATCCAGAAGGTGGAAAGACCCCAGGTCCTGGCCAGAGACTAGACAAAAGGCCCAAGCTGTGGGTGAGGGACTGGAAAGACTCAGGAATGTGAGTATGCACTCAGGTTACTGAGTGAGAGCACGTGATGTGCTCCTGGGCTTCCATCTAGACTAGGGCAGTGCACACAACAGGTCTGGGGAACACCACAGGCCAGGCAGATCCTACAAAGTGGGTTTGGCCTAGGCAACAACCATAAGGAAAAGGATCTGTTCATGCTGCTTATGCCTCTGTGGATGCTTGTAAAGCTGTGAGTTTGTGGCTGGCCACGGTGTTTGTATGCTCCCACATGTGCATTTCTGGAATTTGCACTTGCATGTCACTGCTGGCGGATCTCAAAAACAGGGAAAAGCAGCTGTCCCACAAGACAACCCCTGAACAAGTGGTAGCTGTTTTCAGACAAACATATGCCATCAGCAACATAGAAAAGACCAAGATACAGAAGTGAAGACACACAGGAAATGGGCTGCTGACACAAGGCTTAGTCTAAGCATCTCTTCATAAATCTTAAATGTTTTAGTATATGAACATACCTTCCATGTTCAAAGCTCCAAGCGTTGCCAGTCTTGCAGCTTTTAGTCCAAACCCCAAATAGCTGTGAACAACAAAAGACAGATGTTAGTCTTGATTCCTGCACATCTGGTATGCTTTACCCATAGCCCTCTTCCTAAGTCCTGGAACACCCAAACCAAATTTCCTTCCTCTGATTCCCAAACGGCTCCCTCTCTAAAACAGAGTTCCATTTGCCAGAACAACCCTGAGGGCCAAAAGAGTGACACGAACCCAAGAAATACACAGAGTTGTAAAACGGGTGAATCTAAACCTGCAGGAAGTGGTTAGAGCTGATGTGGCACTTATACAAGATGATCATGAAAAGCAAGAAAGCACCACCTTAAAAATGAGGCAGGAAGAAGGGTAAGTGCTGAGTGCATGGGGAATAGGGCAGCCACTCTTATGCAGCACACACAAAACTATGTGCTCTTAGGGCAGAGTGCAGAACCTCCCACAACATAGGAACCGTGGCTTTGTGTGAAATTCACTTGTTTTGACTCCACAGGTAACTGCAACATTCATTATAAGCTAGAACATGAACAGTGCTTATGAGAATGTCATCACACATTGCAGCAACATAGCTAGATTAAAATCCTGTTGACCCTTTCATTCCCATCTCTGTGCTTGGTCACTTACCATTTTTGTCACATCATTTTGAACGTTTCCAGAATATTCAGAGTTAAACTAACCTCCAGCTCTCTCTCAACTTTTAGGAGATGATTTTTCAATCCCAATTATTTTAGGTGATCTAATGGACTGTATCAATGACTACAGCAATTAGTTACACCAGCAAATGTAAGGAGTAGGAGAGAATGACTATTAGACCAGCTCTGCTGTCAAGTAAGCAGATTCTATAACTGGCTGAGATGGTAATGTTCACTCCACTAGGTCTCAGGAAATCCTCTTTCCAAATCTCTGATTGCTTTTAGTTCTGACTACTGGCCCACTATCTACCTTTCTGCTTGTTTCAGAATATTTGGCTTGAATCCAGTAATAAGAATTCTTTTCCTTAAATATGGGTTCACAGTGCTGTCCCTTCATTTGAAAGACTGCTTAATATTCCTTTGCAGTGACATTAACCATGATCCTGGAAGGCTTCCAGCCAGCTAATGTCATGTTCCACTTCTACTGTTCCATGCAGATAAGTAGTAAAAAAGTTATGGTCTCTGCTGCTGGTACCAGGATGATGCGGCTGTTAGCTCAGGGGCTGATTTCCCCAGTGGAAATAGCAGTCTTTTGCTCCTCACCTGTGGGTATAGAGCTTGTACGTGCTATTAAACATTTCAAATGAGGTAAGAAAATCCTCAGGGGTTTCCTTCAGAGTTTCCTAGAAGTTAAGTAAAAAAAAAAAGTTTTCATTTATATTATCCTATAAAGAATAACCAACTTTAATGTAGTATCAGAGATATACCCATACACTTTACTGCACACTCATCTGACCTGCTTTGAAAACAAAGTACAGCTTTCCAATGCTGCCACTGCTGTAATATCTGCAGCTTTTAACACCGATTTTATTTATATGCATCTTTGTGCTACTTCAATGTATAATAGGGAAGCACAACACATCAGGATGAAAACACTTTCTAATTCAGGTAACCTGAATTTTTTCAGAGTACTTACATGTTACTCTACATGTAGAGAGTCCCCATCCCCATTACCTGAAATCAGCTGCACCACAAGTGTTATGAACTTTTTCAAGTCACACCAGGCACCTAAACTGAGGTACTCAGAAGAATTAAAAATACAGGGTATAGGTCCCATTTTCACCATGTCAAATGTCTTGCTGGTACTCAAGGAAACACTGTGCTCACTCACTCCCAGTCTTAGGGCTGCTTCACCTAAATTAGCCTCTTGTCTCACCACCTCCAGTTTCTTCCTCTCAGTCTTCTCTCTGCGCACACCTCCATCCATCCCCCTGGTACCCTGCCCTAGCCTCCTGACAGACTAACTCACACTCTTGCAAGGCTGAACCGCTTCAGCAATCATTTACTGATTCTTTGCGTCCCCTCCCTAAGCTCTCAGTCTCAGTCTCTCCTCTCCTCATGCCTCATCCTCCCACCCCTTCTTGGCTCCATGCACTTTTATCACCCGTGGTTATTCTGGCCAAGCAGCAGAGTCAGAGAGAACTGAAGCTGCACAGTCCTGCAGTTGCCATGCAAGTAAGAGAGTCAGATCTGGGTTATTTTTTCTAAGTCCTAGACAGAAGCCTGCTCAAAGCTGAAAGGAATTTGACAGCATTCAGCTTGAGCTTCTCCTGAGCAAATACAAATCAAAATTTGTTTTGGGTCTCAAGTTGATTATCACTGAAATGGCAGTCACATCCTTGGCCTCATACACACAGACTGCCATATTTTGAGTTCTGTTTCTAAACCTTACATCACAAAAACTATTTAAAGGAGAGATCCTCAAAAAAAATTAGTTTGGAGAAAACAATTGTCTTTTTCTATGCCATACTTTAATAAAAAATGAGGCAGACACCAGATAGACAATTTCATAATTACTATGATTGGTTTTCAGTTGCTTTTACCTTTGGCAATAATGCCATGAAATTAAAATAAGCTCCCTGCAGTTGTCATTATATGTTCTTTACTTGCTTGTAATTCATATTTAATTGAAAAATCTCTTACAGTTTTTTGTTCAAAACTAATACAAGAGCAAGCATGTGACTGCCTCGGATTGCAGGAAGGAAAAATCTCCAGTGCAAATCAAAGGGAGGTATCCCCACTGTCAGATGGGAAAAACTCCCAAAAACATACTGAGCTTATTTATTTGAACTTGACAGCACAGGTGAGAAGCAGACATAGTGTACAAGCACGAACCTTGACTCCACACTGCCCTACAAATTCACACCATTAGTCCTGGTCAGCAGCAAACACTCCAGGCCTTTTCCTGCAAGGCTGGAAGGGGACATTTGAATCCTGAGCTGCAGTTCAGCCTATTTCACGGTTCTATTTATTCTCCAAAACCCTGCCATGCAACACCCTTTCCTGTTGGTCCAGTGCCCACTTTAGCAGGTGTTATCAACACAAAACAGAGGACAAGCCCACAGCACACTTGGGGCTTTGCTGAACAGGATAAGGTTGCATGTCATGTTTCAACATAACACACAGTTGCAGAATTAGAATATCCTGATGTGAAAGCCATGTGTTTTGTAGGCACCAAAAATCCTTTGATAAGATAATCTTAAGTTCTATGAAAAAAAAAGTTAAAGAAATTACTCCTTCAGAAAGAGCGACATAAACACATCACAATATGAAGGTACAGAATAAGTAATTTTCTCATGCAAACTGCAGACTTGGGTCACAGTTCAAACTGTTTCTAAACAGCTATGGAACTACTAAAAAATCCAGCAGAGGTGTCTGGGGGACAGAGAGCAGAATATTTAAAAGGAATGAGAAGAAACTGATAAGAAAACAGAGAACTGACTGTGCTGCTATTAAAGAAATTTACCCTATACAACACTCCTCCCCTCCAAAACTTAGTGAAGATCTGTTATCAGACTCGAATGGGAAAAAAAAAAGATAGACCAGCCCCTGCATTTCTTCTAATATTCAAGAATACTACCTAGAAATGTTCTACATTTGTTGAATACACAGCAATATCAACATGAATGAGGCTTTCCCAGTCTGAGTCCAGAAAACAAAAGCTGTTTCTTTTTTGTTTTACTCATTTGCTTCTTTTTATTTCCTCATGATTCAGGCTGCTTTGTTTGCAAGCGCCTATGAGCCAGCTGCTGATCTCAAAGGGAACAGAAATACAGATGTTCTGTAAACCAGGGATGTTCTGCTTGTGCCACTGCTGACAAAGTGGCACCAGAGAGTGCAGCAGTGCTCAGGTCTCTCCACCAGCCTTGTGCAGTCCCAGCCCACGCACTTTTAACCACTCCTCACCTCAAACCGTGGCAGGAATGTGATTTGGGTTGAGGCTCCTCCCAAGTCCAGAATCCCAACAGTTTGCTGGTTCTGGCCAGACAGCTGCCCTGCAAACAACACCGTGCTCAGAACAGCCCCAGGTGCACAAATGCTGAAATGCAGACACTGTGTGGATGCTCAGGCAGCCACCAGGTGATCACTGCAAGACAAGGAGGGCTGGGCTGCCCTTCAAAGAAAAAACCTCAGAGAGAACAGGCAGGCAAACAGAAAGTATTACAGAATGAGACACAGACTTCCTTCATTCCAATCTCTCCTCCAAAGTGACAAAAGCAGACAAATTTCCAGGTATCAAGCAAAAGCTGAAAGTAAGAGACAAAGTATCTCCTGCAGAAGACTGTCAGGGAAAGTACACAAATTTTGTAACCACCATACAGCTGGGCAAAAGCAGTAGGGGAAGGAAGGGCAGTAAGAGCCAAACCAGCTATTGTAATTTCTCTTCACCTAGAGCAGCTTTTTTGCTTGCCCATCTTACTAGGGTACTGCTTTTCTTTTCACTAGACTGCACTCCCAGAGCTCTCAGAGCCAGTAGTGCTAAGGCAGCATGCCCTGCAGCACCACTACAGCTGCACAGCCCACACTGGGAGGAAGAACACTGCAAGGCCTTGTTTCCCACACATTAGCAGTACCACTCCCCAAAGCACGTTAGGGAAACCAGCCTGCAGTGGCTCCAAGATCTGAGTGAATTCTGGCACCTTCAGGGTTAAGATGTCTCCTTCTTACTACAGACCCTGGAACACAGGCTGCCCAAGGCAATCCTCTGCTTTAGCACTGGTGACACGGCAGGCAGGAAAAAGCATGGCCAAGGCAGAGGAACTTAGGGTGATCACCTCCACAGAAGTTACTCAAGTTCAAGTTTAGAGTAGTTACACAGAAATAATTACCTGTCAAAAAGTTCACAGTGATCCAGGCTAAAATTCCTGCAATGAGTGAAAAAAAGAAAAAAAAAAACAAAACAACAAACCAGTCACCATTAAATACTCCCACAATCTCCTGCCCGCTGTAACTAGCCCTCCATAGGTTATTTATTTACCTGGAAGTCATCACTAGCTTAACCCAACCACCCCAGACTTCAGAGATTAATTCAAACTCATAATTAAATTCTATGATGCATTATTGATTCATACAAGTCTCATGAGCTGAAATAGATAGGACTTTGTAATATCCATGCAACTGCAGCATACATAAATCATATCTATTATCCAAACAACATACAAAGAAGTAATGAGCTGACACAATGCACAAGTTTCCTTGGGTCTGGTTTTGCAGCCCAGAATTTCAACTCCTAATCTGAAAACTGCATTCACACCACTGTGTTTTAATCTTAAGGTTTCTATAATTACACTACAGACAGAGCAGCAACCAGTAAAACACAAACAGCTCCTTTGATTCCAGTGGCTTGCTTGACACTTACATGATTCTCACCCAAACATGTGACAATAGAGGAGGTAGGGATTTTAAATAAACTTGGCAGGCTACCCTGTGCTCTGTTATGCCTCAGAGGTCCTGCCCCTGTCAATACAACAGTTCTCCCTACTGTACAATTCACCCATTAATCCATAGTGACAAACTATGCACTACACCATACTTATCAAATACTTCAATACTTTATGATACTTCTCCTTTTCTCTCAGCCCATGTGGACAGATTTTGTTCTTTAATCTTCCTCCATTTATTAGTTATTTAAGCACTGGGAAAATTCTTGCTTTCCTTCAACACCTTCCAAAGGGGCAATTTATCTGCCACAAGGAAGAGTTCAGAGCTGAACATAACATGACAGGATGGCTCTTTCATACAGGTGATTATTACTTGCCCATTCTCCAAGGTAGTATGTTTGGATATGTAGCCAGAACGTTACACTGTTTTTTTCTGCATTGCAAAATCATTTTTCACTCCAAACCTACAACATATTTCACCTTTTCCTGTATTTTACAGTACTTGATTGCTACTTTACTAGCAGTATTTTTCCCAACAGCATATTTTTTAACTTACTATTTTATTATTTAGTTATCTATTTTTAATACTTGCCAATTATCCTTCATTCTCCTTTAATATTTACAGTGCTCCCAATTTTAGATTGAAAATTGATGAGCCGATCACAATAGGTTATTTTTAATGCTAATATTGCAGAATTTACAAGGCATTTTCCAAGGCTGACCAGCTTGCTATATATTGTCATGTAGCCTTTCAGAGGTGGACACCACCTCTTCTGCACCAGTTCCCAGGAGCAGGCTTCAGCTGGTCAGCCTGCATCAGGCAATGCTTATTGTTGAGACAAAGTTTTGTTCTGAAACCTGTGAAATCTCTTTGTCTATCTGCATTTGTAGCCCAACAGGTGATCAAGTAATGAACACCACCTCAGAAAGATTGCATTGTTTCAAACAGGGCCAGAAATCTTTCTTTTTTTCCTGCTTGGTTTAGGGACCATTTTTCTTTCCCTCATGTTTCTAAGATATCCCTCTTTTTCCCATTTCTCTTTGCTTTTACTTTTTACCCCTCCTAAAACACACCTTCATGAGATCCGTCCATGATGCCAACACTGTCCTCTGGAACCAGGAATGGTGATTCCTCAAAGACTTCTTTCACCTGAGGAAAGAAGCAGTGATTAGATTTCTTGGTCTTCAGAGACTTGCTCTGCTCTGAGGTTGACAAAGTTTCTGCTGCTGCATAAAACAAAACTAAGTGTGTAGAGTAGGGGGAAAGGAAAGAACTTTTGTAGGTCTCTCTCCATGCCTTCCACCACAGCAAGACACAGGATTTCAGGACCAGACAAGATACTCTGCAAGTTTTATGCTATCGTGGGATTACAGTCTCTTTTCAGAGATGGAATTCTCTTATGCTAAACAGAATAGAGAACTGAATTAAAAAATAAGAAGATGAAACAGGGAGAACAATACCAGTGCATCCAAAACAACTCAGTACTACCTCTGACAGCAGAGCCTGAGCTTTCTCCTCTGACAGCAAGCGAAGTCCAGCCGTGGCTTTCAACACCACTGGGGTCTTTTTCCAGAGATGAGGTGGCACAGCATCAACAGCCATGTCCAGCAATGTTTTGACACTTTCAGCACCCTAAAAGGAAAAATATCCTTCTTATATGGTTTCCTTCTACACCCATCAGAGAATAGGCCTCTCAGTTTCCCCTCAAAACTTGTGAGAGCAGTATTCACTAGCAGAAGATACCCACACCCAAGACAAGTACAAAAACCATGCCATACATCTCAGTAGAACATTAAACAGAATGTCTGCATTGGAAGGAAAGGTGTATTCACAAATACATTTTAAGGAAGATAAATATCATTGTTTGTGGAAGGTATTTTTTTGAAAGGATGGAGGGAGGTGAGGGAACTGATTACCTGACAAACTTAAACATCTTGCAGGATGATGAAACTTAAATGATGCAATTACTGACTGAGGCTACCAAAGCAAGGCGAAACATCTGTAGATTTCACTAAATGCAACATAAGAATTCCAAGTGTGTCCATAGCAATTATTGTAATTAAAATGCCAGCTGTGCAATGGTTACCACACAAGGTACAGACATCACTGCTGGCTCTCAATTATTTCCACTGCTCTAGCAATCACAGTTTGGCATTAGCAATAAACATTCTCCTGTGAAACGCCTAGAAATTTCTTTTGGGCTGAGTTCTCCTCTCCTACCCCAAAATCAAGTTTTACTGGAATCACAGGTGATTTATAAAAGTTTTTAAAAAATCCCAAATCCATTCACTCTTCCATGAAGTGTCACACTCAAATTCCAACACTGTAGCATGGAATCCAACTGAGCAAAACGAGAAACCTGAAATCCCCATAATGCTAGCCCGCAACTTCAAGGCTGCTGAAGCACACAAAATAGTGGATCTAATCTGTCATTTCTCTGGCACCTCCTTTAGTTTGTGAAAGAGCTTCCTGTCAGCACAGGGGGTCTGGAAAATGACAGCTTACTTCAGAGCTAAGAAAATTATTTCTAAATGAGACAGAGTATGCATTTACTCATATTTGGGGTAGCTGTAGAGGAAATAAACACTGAATTTGGATGCTGCTAGAGACAAAAATCACTTTGTCTTTGAAATTCTCAAAGGCACATAGTCTAGTTATATAAACATTTAAGCAATTAATTAATCCACTGTTCCACTGATGAAATATGTAAAACACCAGCTCTTATTTCACCATGTTGAACTTAACTCACAAAAGTAGAGGAACAGGTTCAGAGAGACAGCAGCAGAACTTTCACATTTCTTCTTGACTTTTTGCAATTGCAATCAGTAATACTTGAACCTGGCAGAATCTAATGATTATAACAGAAGCACAACCAACTCCCAGGGAATGCAGACCAGTCCTACCTTTTCAGGCTGATCAGCATATGCAGACAGACCTGGCTTCACAGACTCAAAGATTTCCCCTTCCACCTCTGGAAGCTTTTCTGCACAAACAAAACATTACATGATACAGTCAACAACTCAAATCTTATTCTTTAATTTCCAAAGTGAAAGTGACTATCCTTGATTCTCCTTGCAAATAAGATTATTCCCCTCCTGAAACAAGACTTGTTCCTTCATGTCAGGAACATATTTAGCAGAAACTTGCCCTTGTACCCTCCAAGTTCACAAACAATTTATTAATAAACATGTTGTTATAATTAAAAGTATGTTCATTTAGCATTTGTGAACTACAGTAAGTTACAATAATGCAGCATAACTGTCACCTATTCTTAATAAATTTCTTTCCCTTTCTGTCCTTACACAAATTGCGAAATACTAGTGCATATTAAGACACACACCATCAATTCCCAATTATCCTTAGGTGATTCATCCAACTGAGATAGAACAGAGCTGACTGTGCTCAAGTACTTGGCTGAGAAGCCAAACAAGTTTGCGCACTGCTCCCAGAGCAGTTTGGGTGTAGAAGCCGTCCCTGGGTATTGCACACTGCAATCCAGGCTGAGTCCAACACATCCGGACCTTGTACCAGTCCTTCCGAACCATGGATGAAGTCATGCAAAGACACACAAGCACTGTGTCCCAGCAAGCAGCCCTCAACCTTTGCAGACCTGCTGGCTCACTGTACCCGAGCTACTTCATCCTCCTGAATCCATCCTGTCACACGTGCAGCCAAAATTGGGCACCTCTGCACCATGTGAGCACCAGATACACTGGAGTGTGGTGCATCTCAGCACACTTCTCCTGCAAATGGCTCAGACCTTCAGTACTTGATAGCTCTTTAATTTACTGATTTTAATTTGCTACAAAATGTGACATAAACATATGCAGAATTCAAGTATCTTGTAATAAAATTTAAGGTAACATGCAACCTGACAAAACCAGCCTAAGTATCTTTTCATCTCAATGAGATATTCCTTTTAAGCAGCTGCATAGATGAAAATGTTTGAAAATTTAGAATTCTCAAGTATACCCAGAATTGTATCTCTGAGACTCAAAAGACCTACAAAAAAGGTATGAACACAGCAAAACACCATGACAAATGGACAACAAACACCTGTAGGAGAACCATTTGAAGGACAAACTGTAGAAATCTTCAGCTGCTCCCAAATGCTGAGCTGGCAAAAAACCAAAACTGTTTTGAGAAGTTGGAACCTAAGTCAACACACATGGGGGTCTTACCTGGGCTCCTCTGCACAAAGGTGTAAATATGAATACGGGTTCCAGTGCTTCCTGCGTCAAACATGATGCCATAAAAAGTGTTCGCTTTGGCATTTATAGGGCACACATTAGGTGGAAAGAATTCCTGAAACCACATTTCCTTGTTTGAATGTGAAAGAACAAAGGGCAAAGAGGAAAATGCCAATGCTATAAGGATGGGAAGTCTGGAAGATGCCATCTTGAGGCTGTCGAGATGGACCCCTTGAGGCTGCCAAGCACGTATCAGCAATCACAGGGCTGCAGGAGGTCCTGAAGAAAAAAAGAAAAGAAGGAATGGAAATTACCAAGAGCTCTCTCCTTTAAAACTCTGTTAAAAAAGAAAATAAATAAATCATTCTGTACACATACATTCTCCCTTTAGGTGCTTTCCAACACGTCACCCAAAAGAGTTTATTGCACTTAGTGCTACTAATTTGTTCTTTCAAGGTAAAGTCTCTCCATTTCCCAAGCGCAGAAGAGAAGGAGTAGTTTGCTTTCCAGTATTTCTAGTTTTCACTTTTAGACAATTTCTTTCTCTTATTTGTCTTGCAGAATTTAAATATTCAGAGTCTGCAGTACCTCCTCCCAAAAGCCCAAATATTATCTGAAAAACAGCAGTGCCAGAGGGGAACTCTGGGCAGAATCACTTTAACATTTGCACACTTGAGATGCTGTGGCAGAACACAAGTATTATTCAGAGTCACAAACAAAGAGAATTTCATCTCGGGCTAAGAACAGCTGCTGGGAGAGATTAGCACACAGAGAGAATGAAGGCATGTCCTTCCAGCAGCATCCCCATCTCTGAGAAAAGCCTGAGCTGCACCAGAGGGGCTGAACTGAAGTGCACCTGAGCTCTGCCTCGCCGTATTTTTTCATATTTTTCTTTTCTGTCTTTTTGGTTTGGTTTTTATTTTTAGAATTATAAACAACAACAACAACAAAAAAATCAATCATAGCAAAACCCACACACTCTCACAAACCTAAAGCAGTTGCCCCAAACACTCAGGCTGCTTACAGAGCTTCTAACAACAGCGTCCCACAGCTGTGTTACACAGTATTGGATATCAAGATACAACTACATTGTCCCTTAACACCTATCCCATTGCATGCATTTTTCCTAAGATATGCTAATAAAGGACATGGGCCCAGAAATCATGGGGTGCCCAGGTAAAAAGAAGGACAATTTCTGGGCATCTTTAACAGCAGAAAAGAGCATGTGGCCAGATGTCCCACCATATGCAGTGTTGCCTGCACCAACCCACACACAGAGCACTCTGCACACAGAAGGTGCAAACAGCTCCTTATCACTTCCCAGACACTTGGTAACACATGCATCCACCCACAGCACTGCAGATTTTACTTTATTTGGCTGCTCATCAGCTGTGCCCAAGACCCCTGCCCACTGCTTGCTCTTACACTTGACTGCCTTTTAGCAATCTGCTCAGCCCCACCACCACGTTCATTCTCTTGAAATCTTCACTTGCTGTCTCTATCCTACATGTATTCACTCCTAAACCCTCTCCTTTCCTTTCTATGTGTTTACCATAGCCTCTATTTCCTCACACCTTTCTCCCACACCCAAAAAGCTCACTTATACTCCACTTCCTTTTATCCCAGATTCAGCCCTTGTAAGACTTTATTTCCATTCTTCACCTTTGTCCCCAGTTACAGCAAAGGGAGATTAACTTTTACCCATTCCCAGCAAAAAACATCACATTGCTCAGGTACCTCTCTAACTCCAGCATTCTGCTATGTCTAGAGTCACAAAGTGCACAGCCCACTGCAGATGGGTAACCTCACCTGCCCGCTGTGACCTTTATTTTTATCCTGCTGTTTCAAACAAATGCAGAAATGCAGGCAGAGACTCCTGATCCTCTCTGCCTTAGAAGCACACTCTGAAAAGAACTGACCACAATTCCACCAGCAGACAACAGCCCTGAACTCCAGCTGCAGTAATTTCTAAAGTACACACATTTTATGTGGAAAGGAGTAAATAGGTAGTTCTGTAACAAAGTGCTCTCCTGAAGAGGCTTGATGAGAAGTGCCAAGCAGTTTGGCACTTTTGTGGCCATGGATTTGTACTAAGATGCAGCAGGCATCATCACAGCAAGGAAGGCCACTGAAAATCCAAGCAGCTGCGCTGTTTTAACAGAACACAAGGTGCCCTAGTGAGAGCCACCTTCCAGCAGGTTCACCTAACACCTAAAGAGGTGTTATTCTATGCAATGTAAGGATTTTGTTTAATGAACTATCACAAATGCAACCCAAGCACCTGTCTTAAGAACAAACTCCAGAGTCCTATTACAAACAGCACATGTGACAGTTATGTAAGCCTCAGAATCTCTGATGATCCGAAAATATCTGAGCAACTGCCATCATTAACTCATACTTTCCTTACCAGACCTATGAGAAGCTTAGTCTCACGTGAAATTCCCTCACAAAGCTTCTCCTCTCTATCCCTTCTCAGATATACACCACTTTCTGTTTTCTACATTTCCCCTGACTTTTTTTCTTTCTCCTTTTATACCTCTGAGGACAAATAAAATCCCAACTAAACAACAAACTTACAACCAATCACCATGGGATTTTATTTTTCCTCTCCCTCATTAAGAATGAAAAACACACACTGAGCCCCTTCAATGACTGGTGAAGTCCATTTAATCAAGCACACTAGCAAAACAATGTCCACAAGAAGAATGGCAACAGATAAGAGTAAGAAATCAGAGCAAGAGAGAGAAGTCAGCAGAGCATAGCAAAAATGGAAATGGAAAAAATGTGGAAAGACAGAATCAAAAGTATGGAAGAAAAAATTCAGGGTAGAAATAGACAAGACATAAGTTACTGAGAAGGAAAAACATTTTCAAAACAGTTCCTCTCAAACAACTTAAAAGCTCCAGCTGGTATCAGAACTCAACAGGGTGGAGAAAATGAAGAATAAACAGAAAGGAGAAGACAGGGTAATTGTTGCGTGAGCACAAGGTTATTAATGCAATCAAGCAGCTCAGCGAGGCAAAGCCCGTGGCTCCCTATCACTAGGCTCAGTGACTGTCCTTCAGAAGGAGCAGCAATAACCAGCACTGACCACGAACACGTTAGCACACACCTGAAGCAGGATGGAAGCAACAGCAGCTATTCCACTCCAGGGACTCCTAAGGAAAGCACCTCCAGAGCACCAAGCAAGGGACACTGCACCTGCACTCTGTCACCGCGGCTCCAGCTAACAGGATGGACTACGTATCAGGCAAGTCATGAGGTCATGGAGGCACATCAAATCCAGTTGTTTTATTCAAATTTGAGTTTATCATTACTCAATACAAGCAGTGAAACACGATTATATAACTACACAGGATGAATTTCAAGAAGTTGAAAGTTAACTTGAGATCACGTTAGTAAAACATTTACACAAATGCTGCAGTTGACCTCAATGCTGCTGGGGCCTGAGCCAGCCAAACAGCACAGAACACTCATTTCCCAGTGCAGGGAAACACGTGTAAATGTCATCTATACACAGCAGATTGTAGGTACCAAATGAAAAACATCCAATATAAAAAATTTGGGAGCTATGCAAACTGTATGATCCAAAAATATTGGGATGTTGCATAGAGACTTCCAAGACTGAATGCATGAAAAAGAAGGAAAAAAACCCCAACAACCAAAGCCTCCCTAAACAACAGAAGTAAAAACTGTACCATAATAATAACTAACCTTAAGACAGCAAAACACAACCTTATTTAGAGTTCACCATACACCGAAACACTGGCAATTTTCAAGACAAGAAATATTCTATACTTGACTATTTCTGACAAAATAACACACAAACCACAAACCATGCAACAGAACCATCTCCCTGTAAAAACGAGTGTGATCGGAGGGGAGGGAGAAGCAGTGTACCAGAGATACACAAGAATTTCACTTCTGTTTCCTAACATAATATTGGGAGATATTTGGAGGTACACAAAAATATTAAAAAATAATTATAAATAGAAATTATATTTCACAAAAATAACTATTTTAGGAAACAAATAAAATTACATAATTCAATTAATATTCTTCCATGCTGAAGCACACCAGAAATCATTCAGAATGGAAACTCTTCTGTGCTCAAACAGTAACAAAATCTATTTTCCAGATGAGCAGCTCTCATGGTCACAAAATCTATTTCCCAGATGAGAGCTTTAACACTTAACACTCATGACTAAATAAATACTTTTAAACCTTTCTTTTCCCAGAAAAAAAAAGTTAATACATTTTTTCTGAGTTAATTTTATCTATTGAAAAAAAATAGCTTTATGGATTGTTTTGACAAAAAACTTAAACTTCTTAAAAGCACACTGTTTAGAAAACACAATAGAAGGAATAACTGAATTCAAAGGCAGAATTTCCCAGTATTTCCATAAAAATAGTGGCACATGCGCACATATGTTTTCGGTAAAATGCTGGCTCTAGAGCTTCAAACTCCAGGGGGAAAAGTAGAACCAACTCACAAACATCCGTTATCGGAAGTTTTAATCTTTCTTCCCCCATACTGAGGCTCCAAATACCCATTATTTATTTATTCACATTTCCGGCCAAGAGGGTTTTCAATTTTGCTCTTTAATTAGCCCCAGGCTAATTTCCAGGGAGCCGCTACCCGGCGGAGCGGGCCCCGCGCAGGGCGGCGAGCGCGGCCACCGGCGGGGCTCTAACGGCGCTTCCCTTCCCTGTCCCTGCGCGGCCGCTATTCCTGGAAAACAGACCTTGGCAGCCGGCAGCCTCGGGGCCCCGGGCTCTGCCTGCACGCCGGGCTGGGAGCGCTGCCGCCCGGGAATGCCGCTCCCGGGAATGCGCCGGACCCGAGGCGGTGGGCTCCGTCCCCGCCGCGCATCCCGGGCCAGCGCGTCCTGCCTCGCTCCATTCCCCTCAGCCGCGACCGAAACCGGCGCCCCGGGCACGCCCGAACCCCTCCCTACCTTCCTTCCCCCTGTCCTGGCAAAAGCCCCCGCGGTCCGCCCCGTGCCCGGGACCCGCAGCCCTGCCCGGAGCCGGCCGCGGTGCCGCTGGGCAGGAACACCCGCAGGACCGCCCGTCCCCGCCTCACCGGCCGCCAGCGCTATCACTCGACCGGGACGGGGCGTCCTCCCGCCCGCCCCTGGGGATAACGGGGACACCGGCGCAGCTTTCGCGTCTCCCGCTGCCTGCCCGGCCTCGCACCCAGCGGAGCGCCCTCCCGGGACACCGGGATCGAGCACGGCTCGGGGGCGTTCACCCAGCCCGGGAGCGGCGCTCCCGATCCCGGCGCCGTTGGCACCGGGGGGATGGGGGGGGGGGGAGGGAACGGGACGGCGGGCGCGCGGTGTCCATGGCAGCGCGCGGACGCCGCCGCGCCCCTCCCCCCGCCCCCGCTGGCTGCGCGCGCTCACCGGCCGCTCGCGCCGCCGCATCCCGCCGGCCCCGCGCGCCGCGTCACCGCCCGCCCACGTGACGCGCCGCCCGTCGCGGGAGTTGCGCGTGGCGGGCGCGCGCCGCCCGGGCTCCGCGGGAACGGGAGCCAGTCCCGCCCGCCGGGCCCCGACACCGCGCCCGGCCCGCGCCCACCGGCGGCCGGCTCCCGACGGCCGGCACGTCACGGCACGGCACGGCACGGCACGACACGGCTCGGCTGGGCACGGCACGGCGCGGCACGGCACGGCACGACCTCCCCGCAGGCAGCGCCCGTGCCGCCGGGGCCGTGGTGTGGGGCGGCAGCGCCCCCCGCGGGCGGGAAGGCGCCAGGCGGGCCGGGCCGCCGGGACGAGCCCCGTGCCGCCCCCGCCGCCCGCTCCGTCCCGCCGGGGCTTCCCCCGGCTCCTTCGCCAGGGAGCACTGAACGGCGGAGCGGCACGGCACAGCATGGCACGGCACGGCGATCGGGGCCTTCAGCAGGCTATGGCCAAGGAGAGGCTGGAGCGCTCGTTCAGCTCGGAAAGAGAGAAAGCTGGGAGGGAACGTGCTGGGTTTGGCTCCTTGGGCGCGGCTTTAGAGAAAACGGAGCCAAACTCTGCTCAGAACACAATGAAAAAGAACCCATATGCTGTGGCCCCTATTTGCTCTATCACAGATTCTTTCACTTTACCCTTATTCCTACTTTTCTAAATCCAAATACCAAGCAAATCCCTTTTATGGTTAGAATAAAACCTCTGAAAATGGAAACGAAAATTCAGTTATTTTAACATCTAATTTATTGAATAAGAAGATAAAAGGTCTGATCCTCTGACATTGATGAAGTCAGCTAGTAGGAAACTATTTTCTTGCCCATGTGCCAGTGCTTGCTTTCAGCCTATCTAGTATAAAGGATCTTGGATCTTTATCTGGAGGGCCAATTTTCTTTCTGTATCTGTTTTTTTTTTTCTCCTTTTCTAAACTTCCTCAGCACTGCACCACCATCTGTAGCAGACAGCTGCAGTATAAAGTGGAAACACAAAATGGCCTTACAGCAGATGACCAGAAAATCTGTGAGAGAGAATGATAAAACTCAGCACCCGCCAAGTATGGTGGGGATCAAAAAACTGCAGCAACTACTAGAAATGAGAGCTTGAGAGATGGACAGAGTGAAAAACATAGATTCTATATAAATGCTCTGTGATGTGAATCAGGAGATCATATCCAGTAGAAAGCATTAAAGGAAAAGGCCCAAACTGCCAATAACAAAAAAATATAGAGGCATGTGCATCAAAGAAGCAATTTCCCCAAATCAAAATGTTCAAAAGCAGCAGAAATAGCACAAATAATGTGCACAGAGACCTAGAGGAAGCACATAAATGCAGTTGGTATGGAAACTTTGAAAACTAGCGTCCATCTTCCTTGACAGATGCCTAAAAAGTCCTTTGCATGATAATATTTTTTGGATTTGGAATTTCTGTAGTGAGAATAACTGTATGAGTTTCAGTATCCTATAAATTAGCAATGACTTTGTGGGAACCTAATTTCAACTAGGTTATCATTTTTTGGTCCTTATTTCTATGGATTAAACTAAAGGCAAACTCAAAGAGTTATTTGCATATTCTGCCATGTCATATGGAATTTTATAGAGAACTTCCAGTACAGATATGCTTCTATAGTTTCATTTTAATAATTATTAGGAGAAAATGAAGGCATTTTGAAAGTAAATGACTGTAGACAGTATTAGAGGCCATTTTCTTCAAGCTTTCTAATAATCTAAAAATTAAGTACATGAAACAGACACTGACATATTGAAAACAGGATCCCATGCATGCAGTACTGATTGACAGGATTACAATTTATAGTGAATAAAACAAGTTCTCGGATTTACAAGTGTATCTCAGAATTTCTGTGAGGATGCAGTTTAAATTAAATTAGAGCTGCACATGCTGCAGGATGTAGCCAGGACTGCAGGTCTCCAGCCTCATGCTAAACGTCTGTACCTGCCAACTGCAGCAGTGCCTGAGCACTTGGATTTTAAGCCATGGAGTTAAGGTCTCCCATAGCTGAAGCTTTCATACATCCTTGGTGAGAGATTAACGTGATCCTAAACCTCAGAAAAATGTTTGTTTAGGATGGATTGGCTACTGAATAACTTGGTGACACACAGTCAGTTGGAATGCTTTGTTCAGGTTATCTCAAAGATGATAGAGCAGAAACACTCCCTGAAAAACCAGGGTGAAATCTGTAATTGAGGTCCAAGGAATCTTCTTCCCTGGAGAAGGGAGAGACTGGAACTGAGAGAGAAAATTGTGTATTGACCCTTTTATGTATGAAGAGGAGAGATAAGGAAAGGACAATGTATTTGAAACTAGTTAATGTTCGTACAAGGCCTCCCCCTCCCTATTTACAACCACTAACAGAAGAGAAGTCATTGGGTTTGTTCTATTTACTTTAGAGAGCCACAGATTTAGAAGTTGAAAACACAACTCTGTGCTTACGTTTATTTTTAAAATTTATGTGCTATGAAAAGCTGAATAAGAGCAATGCAGAGCTAGAATTTTAAACCTGCTTTACACATACGGAATCCATGAATGATATGCCTTTGAAATTTTCTTCTAATAGATTGATCTTTTCCCTGTTTTTCAGGGGGAAAAATTTTTGAAAATTTTTGGATATCAATAAGTTGACATGAGAGAAAAAAAACACCCATGTTTTGTGATTGCTTTTTGTCCAAATGGATGGGACAAATCCATGGTAATCTTTTGTTTCTTCAGTAGGTGGATACTGAACTGAGCTGATCACAGGATTCCAGTAAGTTCTAAATCTAACATAAGAATCTGGCTGCGTGGCTTGGTGTGAGGTACTGTAACTTTTTCAAAAAGTTGGTACACTATATACTGACTTTGTACATGCAGTAGACTATACTGTTCAATCTTTGTGTATTGTATCAAAAGAAGAACAAGTGGAAATAAATTTTGATACTGCTAAGGTCAAGAATAGAAGTTAGAATTAACTTTGCTCAGTGCAGTGGGATTTATTTTGTTCAGTCATTAATGGAGCCCTATCCATCTTTACCAAACAAGTATATAATGTCTATTGTGACAGTAGCACTCCCCAGGTGTATTTCCTTGTAAGAGTATTGTAAAGCAAACTTCCCAGTATTAAAAAGTAAAAATATCTGCAGCCAGATTATGAAAAGTTTACTTACTCTATGGTTCATTGCTATCTGCATAAGAAGTGTGGGAGTGAGCAGGACTTTAGAGATACTTATGGCTTACACTGGAAATTCAAAGTCCAAGCAGCATTAAGTATATTATAAGCTGTGAATTGGGACATAAGATTATAGTGAGGTATCTATATGCACCTGAATGTTTGTGTGACAAAAATGAGGAATTTAAAAATTGATTTTAAGATTTGTTTTTGTGTTGATCTTTCAGCATTTAGACACAGTTCTCATGGAAAAAAAAATCTTATTACCTCCTAAAGCCCTCTCTTGTTGAAAAGCAGATTTATGTTTTCTAGAGGATGCTCTTGTGAAAGTCCATGATCATACAAGGAGGTACATTTTCACCTAGCACAGTGAGTTTTGATTAAAAAGGCAAAATCTCTGCAGCTGATGTTGCATTCAGTATAGGATCACAGAGGGTGGGCCATGATGGGGATTCATGTGCCTGATTTTCAGATACCAACTCAGATACAACTTTATTGCTAATTATAACCCTCCAAGGCAAGCAGTGTCAGCTTACCCTGGAGGAATAGGTAGGGCAGGGTTCTGGCATGCTCAGCTTGTCAGATGTGAGGCAGCCAGCACACGAGCCAAAATGCAATACTCAGACATCAAATTATCAGATAAAGTTCATCAGCAGGAGCCCTGGAGGCATTTATACATAAAGATATAGAAAGATGTGAGACACTTCCTTTGGAAAGGCAGGCTGCCACTTTCCAAAACGGACATGGAAGTGGATTGGAGCCTTTTTCTTGACATCGAGAGGGAAAAAAAACCCCTCAGAGTGGAAGTCACGGAGCCAAATTTTCAGAGGTGGTCAGGCCATTTAAAAACAATTTTTGGACTGTAGCATATTAGATAGCTTTCAGAATATAGATTTCAGTGCTTTCTGAGCAAGAAAATTTTAATAGTCTTCAAAGTGTTGACTATAAAATTGTATTTTAATAGTCTAAAGAAATTTATTATGAGATACTTTAGACTATACTTTTGTATAACATAGAAGATACATTATTTAGCTTATCTTTATGTGAATATTAAATAAAAAGGATGAGTGGAAAGCAGAAACAGCAGTGAGATGAGGCAGGTAAATTACAATCAAATAGCATCTGCAGCTTGATCTAAAAAAGGCAGTTCGTTACTAGAAAAGGAACTCACAAGATTTGTATTTCTAGTTCAATTATTTAAAACTATCTGTGTAAAAATGCTGTTGGAAATGTAGATAATTAGAAAAGATGTTTGCACACAAATGAAAAGATCATACAGGTGTGTAGAAGATATCTGGAGAAAGTACAGGAATAGTGCTGCAGTACCTCAGGGAGCAGGTGACCTTGATAATAGACTGCTTTTGTTACAGGAGAAGATGGATTTTAGAATTTCTAAAAGAAGGATACAATGGATTTTAATAGGACAACAGCAAAGTCAGAATAGCAATGCTGATTAGGGAGAAAATTAAGGCATTGTGAAAGTAAATGACTGTAGACAGTATTAGAGGCTGTTATTTAGTATTTCTTTCCTAGGTACTTGAGTGAATGCCAATGTCTTAATAGTGACTTACCTAGAATATTTTACCTTTGCAACACAGAAAATACTTATCCCAACCTAATATTTATTACACAGCAGGCCACATTATCAGATTCATCCTCTTCTGCAGTGATCCTTCCACATGTTCAGATGTTAACAGCACAGACCAAGTAAGGCAGCTATATACTTTCCTTAAACAGCAGCCAGCAATTAGCAACTCATCTGCACTTTTCATTTTGAAAGTTAGCTTCTGAGTAAGGCTGTGAATTCTAGATCCCCTGTCTGCTGCACTGCTGCTTTGACTCTGTGTCTGAAATCCATCTGAAATATACTTCTTTTTCTCCTTCTTAAAGACCTCATTTTTTCCCAAACCAGGAGCTTGCAAGACCCTGTACAGAGCACTACCATTTGGACTAGTGGTTAGAACCTGTGTATAAAGTGTTGGTATAACTTGGTGGAGATGTCTGTGATCAAATTATATGTACATGGAAACAGAAACAAGGCATTCCTTGAAATGCTGTGCAAGAAAACTGGTACAGAGGTCCCTGAAATACTGTAAAAGGAAAATGTATACATGGCTTACAGGAGCTGCAGACCATCTCCTGTGAAGAGGGGAATAAAATCAACATCACACCTATGTAAGGTCTTACCAAGGAACAGTCATGCTCTGCAGAAATACATAAGCATGTTTTTAATTCGTAATCAAATTGCAAGGTGAGAATTTCCCTCTAGTGTATAGCAGAGGAAAAAAAACAAGATACAAACATTAGTGAATGCACAGCAATTGCACTAATATAGAGCTGTCAGTTACAAGGCATCTTTACCAGAAGGCAGGATACAAAGTGTTCACATTCAGGTTGTTTCATTAGAACACTTAATGGTTACAATCATTAGAAGAATATTATTTTCCATGGATGTTTGAGTGAGATCCCTGCAGATCCTTCATGGCTGCATCATCTTTCAGGAACCAGAAATAAAAATATAGGTTCTCCAACTCCAAATGCAGATTCTTAAAACCACATTGTATATACCAAGTTTACTCCTCTGTATCAATAGGAACTTGCAGTCCCAAGAGTACATTACTGTGTTTGAGCAAATGTGACAAGGAGTCAATCAACCAACACAACAAATACAGCTACAATCAGGACAGCTGCAATCAGGAAACAAACAGACAAGGCCTGGCTGCTTTGATATTAAAAAATGTGTTCTTTCTTCCTACTGACCTGTCTACTTAGGCTCCATTTTATCTGGACACACATGATGCTGTGACACAAAGACACACACACATGGTTTTGTTTCTGCTTCCACAGTTTCACTATGGTACAGGACATGTAGGCTTGTATCCCCTAGCACAGCGAAAAGGCACCAAACAACTTTCAGCTATAATGGAATTGCTGGCAAGCTTGAGCATACAAGCTCCAGACAGAACAGGAACAGAAGTTTACAAGCTGTCAAAGGTACAGTGAAGGTCACTGTACCATACAGAAATTTCTTTCATCCTCAGACAAGCAATCAAATATGCTTTCCTGAAAAATCCATACAAAGCTATTTCCCAGTGTTTTGGAAACTGCTTGACAGGTGAAAGACTGACAACTTGCTGTTTTCATCATATGTAAAGTCACTTCTGTGAGACACTCAAGATGTCCCAGTTATGCCACTCAAAATGAGTACCCATCTTAGAGTAAGGTGAACTCAGAATCTTAATATGCAAGATAAAGAGGTAAATAAACCTGCTACAAGATGTAGTCAGGAGTGAGTCACTAAGGCTAAAGATACTGAAGTGAAAACCAGAGTTATGTTCAAGTTCACGGGGTCTGGAAAGAAACACAAACTAAGACCTATCTCAGTGGCTGCCCTTTCAGTTAGATAAGGTTATTTAGTCTTTGATAGGTTGTATGGAAAAAATTAGTTCAGCTAACCAAAAAAACACTGACAGCAACAGAAAATCCAGACCATGAGTCACATGAGCCTGCACAGTAACAGATCCTTGAGACAAAGGAGCTTTCTATTCATTCCCAAGTAAAGGGTGATAGTCAGGACAAAGCTGGAAAGTGCAGCATAGAAGGGCACCAGGAACAGCATCTGCAAAGGCGGGTTTAGTTTCCCATAGTTGGCATAACCACAGCAGGCTTGGCAATGGTGGCATCTTCCTCCTTCCATTGAGAAATAATCGTTTTCAGCTGTGTGTAGAACTGCACTCCCTGGAGGAGAGATCCACATATCAGATATTTGGCCTTATGAATTCCTCAGGTCTACACTAGTGGTATATCAAACAGTTTTTGCTTTATCTAAACAGGAGTGAGTTTTCTTCTGTGGAAACAATTCTTGTCAGCCTGTTCTTTTTATCAGTTTCACAAAGATTCTGATTCTGTGAGAAAGCTTGCTAGTTATTGCTCCCTTCTCAAATATCCTAAAAAGACTTGTATTTTTTCACTTAGAGGAAAAATAAAGAGGAATGGGCTATCTATGATTGTGACATGAATTATGGTGCTGTGATCACTGGCTGGTTTTCAGTCTCCTGGTTGAAATACCTTCCAAGTCTCCTCCCTAATGAGGGCTGATGACCATCTGTCCATTGCCTTTTATAACACTTATATCAACGATTATCACAATTCAGATTTATCACAATTCAACCCAATGGAGTACTCTGAATCAGAAAGTTACCTGTTTGCCATAGAAATTGGCGTCCCCTCTGAAAGAAGCACGAGAGCCAGTGAAAGAGAACATGGGCAGAGGTACTGGGATTGGAACATTGACACCCACCTACACAAAGGAAAGCTGCCATATTAGTCACAAGAAATAGCAGATTGCAGAGCACTCTCCAAATGCTTCTGCATTTTGTTTTCTTATGTCTGAGGCTGGTACTGCTGGCTGAGCAGGCAGTGATTACAGCTGAATGGTTACCCACTGTAAATGGTGAGGGCTAAAAGCAACAAATCCTAGCTGGAACATACCTGCCCCACGTCTACTAAGTGAGAATACTTCCGAGCTGTGGCTCCATTGGTGGTGAAGATTGCAGTTCCATTCCCATAGGGGTTATTGTTCACCATCTCAATGGCCTCATCCAAAGTGTCTGTTTCCAGCACCACTAGGACAGGCCCAAAGATTTCCTCCTTATAGCAAGTCATGTTTGGCTGCCAGTACAAACAGTAGAAAAAGCAGCTTGTAGAAAGGATATAATAAAAATATCATAGTAAATAGCATATAAGAAACACATGTGCCGTTGGTACTCATGATATTCCCAGGATTACTGATCATACTGCATTGCCACAGGCCACCCTTCAGTCCTCCTTACCTCTTCACCATTTCCCATGCCCTGTCCTCTATCTAGTACACTAAAGAAGGCAGCACTTTTCATCTCCAGAGTGAAAAAGTTTCAGCTTTTACTGCCTGCATTACAAGAAGTACTTCATTGACACTGTGCAAGGGAAGGCTGAGCCATTTATGGCCTTTCTAACTGGTGATCATTGATTCCTGACTGATTTGGCCAACCCATTTTTCAGCTGACCTTGCAATACACCTTTGCAGGCACTGATTTTGGTCATCTTACCTTGACTTTGGCAAGGATCGTTGGTCCAACAAAATTGCCCTTTTCATAACCCTTCACTTTGATATTACGTCCATCCAGGAGAAGGCTGGCACCTTCTTTTACTCCTTTCTCAATCAGACCGCAAACCCGTTCCTTAGCCTGGGGACTGATTAGAGGCCCAAGATCTGCTCCAGGCTGGTCTCCTGTGAAGAGGCAGAGACACCAAGTTTTAACTCTGATAACTTCCTTTCCATAGGCATCTGGGAGATAACTCCACTGGCAGGCAAAATCTGAAAATCCTGATGTTTGAGACACAGAACACAGATTTGAGACATCGATGAACAGGAACAATAGCCTGCAGCTCTCATATCAATACAGAATCACCAGAAAGCCAAAATTCAACAATAGATTAATCTCAGGAAGGAAACTTTTCCCCTTTGCAGCACTTTATTGAATATAAACAAAAAATAATTCCCCATGAATTAATAACAGTCTCGCTTTTTCAAAGTGAGACTGCTATATAAATGGCAGACATGAGTTAAACATAGGATTTAACCTCAAATCTCCAGTTAAAACAAGACTGATCCTGTAAACATTGCATCACAGTCCCACCAGCAGCTGAAAACATATTCCTACCTCCAAACCTAGGGCTGGGTTTCCCAATCCAGACAATCTGCTAGCTCCTACCCCTACACATCAATGGTGGTGCCAATAGCTCCAAGGGTCACAACACGGTATGGCAGATAAGCTGACCTATAAAGCCATGGTTGTACAGAAGTGAAGTAGCTTGTAAAAATTATCTCAGTCTGTACCTGCATTTACTCGTAGATTTTTGGCTCTGTCTACAAGCTCTGGCAGCCATCTCTGAGCTTCTCCTACTAGAATTGCTGTAGACAGGGCCATGCAGCGTTGGCCAGCTGCTCCGAAAGCAGCTCCAACCAGCTGGTTCAAGGTGTTCTCTTTATTGGCATCAGGCATCACCACACCATGATTCTTGGCTCCCTGAAACACAACACACACAGTCTCCCATTATAAACCACCCCAGACCGGTTCTTCTCCAGCCCTCTGGCAATGATTTCTTATAGTGGCTATGATTCTGCTACCAACAGGCTGGCAAGAGAACAGCCTTATCACTTAGCTATCAGCAGCAAAGTCAGCTTCTGCTGCTGAGTGGTGTGGTGTCTCTTAACAATTACAGGTGACAGAGGTGGTCTGTGTGCTCAAAGTGTGCTCTGTTCAGAGACATTACCATGTTGGCCTGGACTCTCTTGCCATTCCGGGATCCTCTCTCATAGATGTACTCGCCAGCCTGATTGGATCCCACAAAGCTGATTGCTTTGATATCCGGGTGGTCACAAATGAAATTCACAGCTTCAAATAGGAAATAATACATTGTAACTGTGGGGCACAAATGCTTCCCTCCATTCCCATCCCCACAGCACTAAATCTATGTATCCTCATTGAAATCATGGCCTCTGTGTTTCCTACATCTGAGTTCCCTGAAAGCCTGTCTGTGTAACTTTTCAGTCACTTCTTAGGACACACACTTCCGTCCTGTCTTCATTCTCCTGGCTCTCTTACATCTCTTCATGCTCTGGGCACCTCCCAGGGTGTCTGAGCAATGTCAAAGTGAAGTTACTGTTCTCTATTGGTATTATCATGTCCTGAAGCTACTTGTGTACTGTAAAAAATAGCATGTTATGAGCCAGGATACTAGCATCCACTGTATAGTCAGTGAGGCATTTAGTTCTTGTTTAGGCTTCCTTGCGAAACCAAGATGATTTATCTACTTATTTTAGTTGTAGTTTAGGTTGCTAAATAGAATTTGAGCACTTAAATGCCTTGGGAACTCTGACCCCAATCCCCAAAATTTTGTCCACCGTATCTCCTAAAAGATCTGGTGCAAGGCGACAGAAAATCTCCCACTCACCTTTCAGCTCCATCAATAGAGCTGAAGCATCTGTCCAAACCCATCTAACAGCAGCAGTCTCAGACTCTCCAGCTGGTACCTCCCACTGAGCACACACCACAACACACACATTTGTCATCTCCCAGGAGGGGTTGTTATTACCTTCATGCTGTCCATGGATAATATTCAGGGTCCCATCAGGGGCACCAGCATCCTGAAACAGCTTGGCAAGGAACATCAGTGCTCCTGGTACACGCTCAGACGGTTTCATCAGGAAGGTGTTTCCACAAACCATGGCCATAGGGAACATCCAAAGAGGAATCATGGCTGGGAAGTTGAATGGTGCAATGCCAGCACACACTCCCAGAGGCAGGCGGTAGGTGTGAGTGTCCATGTCCTTAGTGATGGAAGGCATGGTCTCCCCAAGGATGAGGGATGTCACACTGCAAGCGTGTTCAACCACCTCTGCAGCAGAAAGGGCAAATATGCTGCTGGATGATCTGTTAACAATTAGTCCCCAAACCTCCTTTTCACTACTGCCTTGACCCACCTCTTTTTTCCAGCCTCTTCTCCCACAACTTAAAACTCACTGTGCACCAGAAAATCTCTCTGCCAAGCATTGTGAACAAATTATGAATGGATTCTCTCTTGACCACACTACACATCATTATGATAGAAGCACAGACACAACAGTCCCACTACCAAATGCACAGGTACAGCACTATTGTACCACCTGGGACTCAACCTTAGATATCTGAAAACAGGTGAGAAGTTCTTATCCCTTTTTAGTAGTTTGCAGTCACTCCTAGAAAAAGCTCTAACGACTTGGAAGTGATTTAAAGATACTCTATGTAGAAAACTCTTCAGATTAGAGCTACAATTGACACTTTTCTTTGACTAGGGGACTATAAAGGGACCAACATATACAGAACAATCAGTTGCTCAGGAGACCTCATCCCTTGCTGTGGGTTCCCAAACCCCCTTTTTTAACAGGAGGAGCCAGCAGCTTACGCAGGCCTCGGAAAACATCTCCCTCAGCATCAGCCAGGGTCTTCCCTTGCTCATAGGTGATGAGTTTGGAAAGTTCTTTCTGAAAATGGAAAGCACAATATTTATGAATGTTAGAAAAGTGCCCACCCATGAAATAGATTGCAAGGATAAGACAGAATTAACAGAGAGTTGAACATCACAATGAATAGACTGAACAGAATCCAGAAAAACCTATGCTGACCGATTCGCTCCTTATAAACAAGAAGCCAGTAACCCATATAGGTGACATTTTAGAAAAAATCATCCTAGGATGGCTTGTATTCTAATGCTTTCAGGTATGACACCACATACACACCAAAAAATCCATTAGGGAAACCAAAAACATCGTAACATACTTGTCTTCATCAACTGACACATGTTCCATCAAGGCTCAAAGTTCCTTCCATGGTCTCTTGGTAAAGGGACAAATTCAGAATAATATTCCCTAAGAAGTGCAGCCTCTCTGTTAACATTGGATGGGAGGTGTTTTGCTGCAGCTCTCAACAGTGTCTCAGTTGGTTCCTTGATCATGGCAACACCTCATCAAGGACTCTGTAAACCCTGAGTCTCTCAATTTAGTTCCTAAAATCAGCTGCAACGCATTCAGCCACAGCCATCGCACACAGCCATGGTGTCTCACCAGATTCTCTTTGATGAGTTGTCGGTAGCGCAGAAAGATTTGCTGGCGACTCAAAACAGATGTTTCTGACCAGTTCCAAAAAGCCTTTTTGCAAGAAGCCACAGCTGCCTCCATCTCACTGGCTGTGGCTTTCGGTACACGGCCAACCACCTCATTTGTGGCCTGAAACAGAAAACAAATTGCATCAAAACTCAGCTTTTCCCATCTGCTCCCACCAACCATTTCACAGCACACACCTAATATTCTTGTTCTACAAGGAGCTGTACTTCTGAGGGCAGAGCACAAAGGAAATGCTTTCCCTAATAGCACACAAAAGGCCTGGGCTACAACTGGAGTAGTTCTGAAAACCTGCACTCCAAATATATCAAGTTAGGCACTCAGAAAACTACAAATGCAGTGCTGATTTCCAAGCTGGAGTTGAAGTGACTTGTCTATCTTGAAACTTCTAGAGAGTGTAAGGCAAAAGTTTCTGTGGGCCATGGTCTTTTCCCTCTCCATTGTCTTGCTTCATCTGGCTGTCCCTCTTGCACACTAAATGAGGTAAAATTCCTTAGTGAAAATCAGTACATGACTGTGCAATTGCCATTGATGTTAGCTTACCCATACCCCTAGGCCAAAGTACTATATTTACATACAACCTTAACTCTACAGTATTTTAACTTCAAGCTTTTTGCCAGCTTAACCTCCTTCTAATGTTCTCTTAAAAATTAAACCTGCTTTGACATGACAAAAATTTCAGATATCTCACTAAGAAACTACTCAAAACAAGAGGAAGAAAATTAAACAAGAACATAGCTTGCTATGTAGAGACCAAATGAGCTTCCTGAACATGACTTGCTGCTCTGATCATTTCCACAAAGCAAATGAAAATAGAGCTTTACAGAGAAGATTTAGAAACTGCTGTTTAAATGCTTACTAGGGAGACCAGGAGGATCAGAATTCTGAGTGCAACCTCATTTCCATTTGTCTTTGGTGGAATACATAGACAATACAAGTGCTACTTATCTATTTTGCACTGCATAGCATCCAGCTCTGTGATTATTGTGGGTCAGAGATAGAAGCTCTCTGAAAGGGGAGGAGCTTCAGCTGTCAGGATTTTTCACCTTTTTACTCTGAGAGTAATATCAGCCTCTATCAGGATTTCATTTTCAGCTGGCATCAAATCACACCCAGTTGATTTCATATACAGGGTGAAAGACACCCGTCAGAAATTTGACATACTCAACACACAGCCTTTCTATGAAAAAAAAATATAACCAAAATTTAAGCTTCCTTTCTGGAGATCAGGGGCTTACTATGTGAGAGAGGTAAAGGTAATAGTAACTTATTCTGAGACAGATTTCATGTGAGAAGGAAACTGAGAAGCTGTAGTCTGCCTTAAGCTCCACGTCTAAACCTTTCCTAAGAAATATGTGTATGTTTTTCTTCTGCCACATCCCTGAAGAGAGGCACAGACCTTTGTTTCACAGTGATCACGTTTACATAAGATGAGACCATTCACTTACTGGGTTGTGGATATCAATCCATTCAGTAGTTTTGGACTCAATGAACTTTCCATCAATGAAGAGTTTGGTTGTTGGCTGTGGAGGGCAAAATATTGGACAGTGAGTTATTTTTGTCTCAATGTGCCTAAAGACCAGTGTGCCATTTTACATGCAAGCCTTCATCATTTACTGCTATGTGAACCACTAGAGTCTGGATCCAATTTTCACAAGACCCAGCTAACTGCTCTCTGCCCCATTTTGCTCTCACTTTACACCAAAATGGCCAAAATTCTTTCTAAAAGCAGTTTTAGAAAAAAAAATACATTGCTCTGCTTATGTTCAGAATTGTTTCAATCTATTTAATCAAAACCTGAAAAACTGCAACTCATAAATGTTCAGAAGAAACAGTTAATAATTCACTTCATGGGAATTCCATGAACCCAGTGCAGACTGTACCACTGTCCCATGTGCCTCCTTCCCATCAAGCCACTAAGCAGATTCATCTTTCCAGTTTATAGCTTCAAGCAGAAAACTGGACTTTCCCCACCCCCTGCTGGGTCTAAGAGCAAGAAACCTGTATCTGTGGATTGTCCTGGCTGGCAGCACAGAAACCAGAACCTTCCCACTCAGATGAAGAGGAGGGACAAGGAAAGTTTGGAATAGGAAGTTCAGGCAAACATTGAACAGAACAGAAAGCAGAGGTAAAAGCTGTGATTAGCATTAGATAGGCAACAAAACTGTACCATGCAGGAAAACAAATTGTGACTGTATAAATTAAGGAACTAGAAAAGATGAGTTGACATTGGTAGGTAAGGAGAGAACTAGGAGAAAGCAAGAACCAGTTAATCGTGACACAAATCCATGACTTGGGGAGAAGAGGTAAGAGAAAGGGGAAATGGATCTTCTGCATGAATAACAGAAATGAGACAGGTCAACAGAACTGGGATATAAGCCCAAATATATCAGAAAACTGAAGAAATTATGATGTGGAATTATGAAAGGGAGATGAGGACTTGGATGCTATCCAAATTGTAATGAAGAGAAAGAGATCAGAGGAAGAATCAGGAACATAAATGGCATTGGATGGACAAGTAATGACAGTGAAAAGTGGATGAAAATGAAAAAAAATAAGCAGCAATGTTAGTTGGAACAAATTGAGTAAGCTTTGAGATGAGAAAGCTAGGATCAGAAGTATAAAATAAGTTTGTTAATGGACAAGCAAAACTTAATGATCTGGAAAGCAACACTAGAAGAGAATTAAAAAAAATTAATTTAAAAAAATTAAAAAGTTGCAGATGATTATGTAGCTGGAATCACACTTGGGGAAGAGAGGCAGAAATCTGTGCCTATGAAAACACAATCTCCTCTAGAACCTGGAAGGAAGCACAGGAAATCTGAGTCCCTTGACCGAATTTCCTGACTGTCAGAAAAGCTGCTGGTCTAGTGCTGGTCTAAAGAATGACAAACTCCTATGGCTGTCAATCACTCCATTAGCTTCACTGAGGCTAATGCAATGGAGCTGCAAACTCCAAGGCTTTATGACCCACACAGACTTCAGTGCAATAAAGTTAATGTTTTTTTCAAATTGCTTAGAAAGTGTATCTCAAATATCGCACATGCAACAAAAAATACTTTAAGCAAGCCAGGAAATAGTGAATTAAAATGAATTGCACTTTTTCCATAAGATCGCCACCCTTTTTGTATGTAGGGAATGCACCTGTTGTGGAAACATGGACGGCAACAAAGCAGACTACTTATGGAATCCTGGTTTGGAGTTCAGAGACAGTGCAGCCATGGACAGGGGAGGGAAAAAGGCAGTACAACAACTAAAGCTGTTTGATACTGGAAACCAGATCCTCTCTCTGTCGCAAACAGATGCATGAGGCCAGTCCAGAGCCACCGGCAGGAACGCGATGTGACGGGCGGCCCCCGCTCAGCTCCCAGCTCTCACAAATCGGACATGAAACTTTTTTCCGTTTCTCCCGTCGAGCACGGGGGCAGTGCCGATGTTTGTTCCACCGGACCCACCGGGGCTCCAGCCGAGCTGGCGGGAGCGGCCTCAGCGGAGCCGCCCTGAGGGCAGCGTCCGGCGGGCGGCGGCGCCCGGGGCTCTGCGCGCCTCCCTCCCCCGCCCACCGGCTCCGCTCCGCGGGACGGGCACTCACCACCGAGGAGGAGGAGAAGGACGCGGTGACTGAGGCGATCCAGGGGGCACCGGCTCTCCGCGGCAGCTGGACGGGGGGGGAAGCACAGAGCACCTCAGGGCGGGTCAGGCAGCGCCTCCCCCCGACCCCCCTCCGGCTGCTCCCCGCCCGGGACCGACCCCCCCGCGGGGTCCCGGGGCCAGCTGAGCCACGATCCCCCTGCTCCCCCCGAGCGGGCCGGGGCCGGCCGCCTCACCCTGAGCGCCACGCGGCGCGGTCCGCCCCACACTCCGCGCGCCGCCGCCGCCGCCGCCATCCCGGCCGAGGGTCCCCGCTCCGAGCCCCCGGCGGCGCCCCCCGCCCCGCCCCGCCTCGCCTCGCCTCGGACCCCGCCCCCGCGCGGCCCGCGGCCAATCGCCGCCAGCAGCCGCTCCGGCCCCGCCTCCCGCGGCCCCCGCCCCCCGTGCCGGGCCGCCGATTGGCGGAGGGGGCCGAGCCGCCCTCCGAGCTTCGAGGCCCGGCCCCGCCCGGCCCAGCGCCGCCCCGCGGCGGCCGCGAGAGCGGCACGTGGGGCTCGGGGGCGGGGTTTGTTTTCCGCTCCCGCTCGGCCGCGGGCGTGAGGGCGGTCACGTGAGGCGCGCGCCATGGCGGCTCCGGCGGACGGTGAGGCGGGAGGGCCCGGCGGCACCGCCGCTGCCCCGCGCCGCTCCCGCCCCGCCTCCCCTCACCCTCTCTCTGTTGCAGGCGCCGACCTGGAGGCCTCGCTGCTGAGCTTCGAGAAGCTGGACCGCGCCTCCCCGGACCTGTGGCCCGAGCAGCGTAAGTCCGGCGGGCCCGGGGCCCCGAGGGTGACAGCTCCGGGTGGGGTGGGGAGAGCCCGACGGGGCCGGGCCGCTCTGGGGCAGCTGCACGGGCCGGGTGGCGGTGCTGCCCGCAGGGACGCTCACCCCCGCCAACCTCCGCTTTCTCTCCGCAGTGCCCGGCGTTGCCGAGTTCGCCGCCTCCTTCAAAAGCGTGAGTGAGCGCTGCCTTGCCTTTCGCGTTTCCTCCTTCCGTGTAATGGTAGATCTGCCGGTTCCCTTGCGGGCTTTACATCTTCTATGGACCGTATCTCAATAATAACTCCAGTGTATGCTACAATATACCTTTTGGTTTTAATGTATCTTTTATATATGTGTTTCTTTTTTATACTTTATGCAGTTCACTGTGTATGGGAATTATACTTTGGAAGTAATAAAGGGTTTTAAACTTCAGAAAATCTTATTTTTCATGCTGATTTTTGGCTTGTGGATATTGGTATGCCGTTTTAAACTCTAAAATGTCCAGGAAGAAACAAGATTAAACATAAAAGTATTTCTATGGAGCGCATGCTCATATTTTTGCTGTCGGCATAATTAGTTTTCAATGCAGATCGTACTTCATTGTATAATTCTAAAAATGGACTTTTCTGAATATGAACTTCTATTTTTTCAAAACAGCCAATTACAAATTCTCCTCCCAAGTGGATGGCTGAATTAGAAAATGATGATATTGATATGCTGAAGGGTGAGTATGAATATTGTGGGCAGGAATTGAGGTTGCCAAAGCAGATGTGAATTCACTACTTGCTTAAGAGGCTTAAAGCACTTGTTCTGGTGGAAGCCCTATGGCCTGAGGTCTCTAGCCATCATGTTTGCAGAATCTCCAACTCAGAAGTCTCTTCATCTTGTTAATGATAGCCATGTTCATTTAACCAGTTATTTCCAAGAGTCTCTCCAGATGTCAGTGGCAGGCTGATTTTTCAAAACAGGCAGTGTAACATGTTTGAGTCACCTCCCTTAGCCTTTTTTATCACTGTATAAGTATAATCAGCATCTCCTGCATTTTGAGAAGTAGCATGAATTTTTTGGAGAGGCTCAGCTGATCAGGTGGTGAGTAGCTTAGATGTGTTAATTGACTTGTTCAGAGGTGCTTGCTCTACATGTGTGTGTGTTCTGTCACGGATCCAGGAGCTCCAGTGCAATGGTGAGGCGGCAAGGGCAGGTTACAGCAGGACTAGCCAGCATGTACACTTGCTGCATGTTGCAGCTGTTAGTTTGCAGTAAACATCCTTCAGTGTGCTCTGCCTGTCATGAATTCTGGATGGTGATGTGTGATCCTGTCACAGTGACATGTCACAGCTGCAGAGTGGAAGTGAGATGATTTAACTCTGACTTGCTCCAAGAAATGTGCTTGAACTCACGTTATTAATGCAAAATAAGTCCGTTCTCTTACATACTTTTATATAGCTTATTCATGTTGCAATGTGACTTACAGGAACTTCCAAAGTATGGATCAAATTACTCTTTGCAATGGTGGCAGATTAAAGCATGAACTAGAGTCATGGGTGTCTTTTTCCTTATGTTAAAATTAGCAGTGGAGTCAGCTTGAATTTTGACCATACACTGTTCACTGAAACAGATCCTGACAGAAGTATGGCTTGAAAGTGCTCTGTGAAGTACTAAACAGGTGAGCTGCTACTAGAGGACTATAGACAGTGTTAAAATTCACCTTCTTCTCTCTTCTTCAGAGCTGGGGAGCCTTACTACAGCTAATCTGATGGAAAAAGTTCGTGGCCTGCAGAACCTGGCTTATCAGCTGGGACTGGATGAATGTAAGTGCTGTACACAGATATGACTGACTGCATTCCAAATCTTTCCACTAAAGCATGTGCTTGTACATTGGTAGCTGGCAAAGTGTGTTGGCAGATTTGGCAAGTGTTTGACAGTGACCTCCTGCAGCAGGATGAGAGAATGAGCTTACATCCCCAACCTGCAGCCTCCCTGCATGGGGGAAAACATGTGTGTCAGTCTGGTGTTACCCAGTGGCACAGAGACTTCTGTTCCTGAGTTAGCATTGTCTTACATAAATCAGATCACTTTGCTTAATTCCCCACTCAGATACTAAAGGTATTTCTCAGAATCCTTGTGGCAGTACTTCTCTCTAATTCCATGCACTGCTCCACAGGGAAACTTGCACTTGCGTGTAGGATTCTGCTGTCACTTTGCTTTTCATACTGTTTTCTGCTTCTGTTGCTGTTACTTTTTTCTACACTCAGTTGAGGCAGGCAGTGATGTCATTGAGGAATAAAGATGACTTTCATCCCAATTGCAAACAGCCAACTCTTACTGTGGTTTTTGGAAGAAAGAGTTTCTTTCATTGTCTCGTTTTTAGAGCTCTTGTTAACAGGTTGATCCAGCTTTGAGGATTTCAAGAGTATTGTATCATTTTTAATGCTACCCATACATACTGCCACATTAATTTTTTTTCTGTTTAGTTATGCTCTAACATAGTCCCTGGTTGTAATTACTCTTGGGCTACACAAAGCACCAAAAGTTTCAAGTCTTTCACCTTCCTCTCAGTGGGTAGCACAAAACCTTTAGAGTCTTTCTGACTGCAAACACAGGATAGCCTAATGCATTCTTAATAACAAATCACTAAGCTTGTTTTAACATACTTCAAGTTTATTTTACTTCCAGTGCTAACATCTGTTAAGACTGTGTAAAGCATTTGGTGGAGTAGCAGTTAAAGTATAACAGTGTAAAACTGAGTCAAATGCAAAGGCTGGCTGATGGTTGGCTTTCTCAGTTAAGTTGCAGGCTCTGATGTCAGACAGTGTTGTTCTGCTAGATGGACTTTAGCAGAGCCTGAGTTGCAGTAAAGCTAGGGAGGTGTTTGTTTCCTTATTGCATGTGCAATATTTGTTGCATGTGGTTCCATTTATTTTTACTGAGGACAAGTGCATATGTAAAGAAGGCCAAGTGAGTGAAAACTGAAATATGGGGCTCAACAGTTATAACTTAAATCTTGAATTTTCAACCTTTATGAAAGGTTTCCATGCTTGTAACTTCTTGTCACTGAAGGCAGTTTTCCTTTACTGTAATCCATTGAATACTTTGTGTGTTGTAATATAAATTTATCTTTGGAAATTTTTTACCAAAAATTAGTTGTGGAATTTGAACAGAAGCTGCTGAGGACTGTTTTTCCTAATACTGCCTTTAGGTTATTTTCTCTTATGAACTTAGACAAGTAAGAGAACAAGAAAAAAATCCAAAATATCTGTTCATTAAAGTTAAGGGACTTATGGTTTGGTCTTGGACGGTAATGATTTGCTTATATCTCTGTACTGAAATTTACTCCCTCTTGGCTTGGCTGGTTCATTGAAACTGGCTGTCAAAAGCAGGACCAAACCTGCTGCTGACCTGTCTCCTCTAGATGGCAGCATGAGGCCTCCCGCGGAAGTTTGACTTCTTTTTTATAAAACTCTGACATTTCGGTTAAGGTTTAAAGCTGTTCTTCCCAAGATTGTTTTTTGTGACATATTTTCCTTTCAAAATGTGCGCTGTCTTTTTTTATGGTATTTTCAAGTGTTTAATCAGCAGTGAGGTTGAGAGACAATGCTGCTTCATTGTATTAACTTACTTTTCCTTCCAACTCTTCTCTTCTAGATCCCACCTCAAATCCTTCATATTTTCAAAGACTTTTATTTTCATCCAAGTTATAAATTGTGTACTGTGCAGGACCAGGGTGATTCCTGCAGCATTCCATGAAAAATGTATCTATTGAGTGACATTGCAATCATGTTGTGAGATCTGTTATTGTTATACCCAGTTCACAACATATTTTACATCAATTTTGCATTAGAATTCATTAGGCAAAGTGCTCTGGGAGAGGGTAACTTTTTAAAAGTTTATTTATTGAGGTACTATTGCAACATTAGCATTGAAATCTGAATAATTGATTTGGCATGATGTAGTTGGATAAATTAATAATTACTGACTTACATGTCTTATTTTTTGAATTCATGTGAACTCTTACTATTTTGTCTGTGTAAGAGGACTTTCTTGACAAGTTTGGAACAGATGTATTGAATGTTTTGTCCATCTTGATGAGACATCTGGATGGCTTTCACCTAGGAACAGTTGAATACTGTTATCTGAATCCCACATTTTTATTATCTACAATCTCAGCTGTCCAAACTTTTTGGCCATGGCTTTCTCAGTTCCTCTTTGGTTCCGTGCTTTTCACAGGTTTCCTTTCTATACAACTAAATTCCTCCCTTCTTTTTCCCATAGGGGAGGGATTACCTTTACTTTCTGAAACCCTATCTAGTTTGTTGACTGCCCTGTGGCTTCTGTGAATCAGTTTAATTTATCAACATATAATTTGGCTTTTCTTTCCAGCTTGTTCTACCACTTTCTTCCTGTCATGCTAGTAGGTGGATTCTTGCTCAAAATGACCCTTACAGAATATTCTTCCATTCCTTAGCACAGGATTCATATCAATAGCTGTTCTTGAATGAAGCAGAATTTTTGTAGCTTGAACCATTTAAAAGAAAATTTTTACTTTCCTCTTTAAAGACAGACTTGGGTCTCTTCTGTGTATTTATTCTTTGTTAAAAGGTGATTCTGGAGTTCTCTGAAAGCTTCCAGGCTCAGGTCCTTGTATCAAGAAAGTCTTTTAAAAATAAATTATTTTTCAGCACTTCTGAGGTTTCAGCTTGTGTTTCCTTGTCAGCTTTTTAAGCTCTGTAAAATTCTACCTCATCATTGTGCTTGTAGCTGCTTTTCTCTTTTTGCTTTGGTTCTCAGAATCATAGAAACATTTAGGCTGGAAAAGACCTCCAAGATAATGAACTCCAACCTTCTCACATTAGAGCTTCTATTTTCCTTCGGTTAATTAATTATTTTATTGGTTAGAGTAATCAAAACCATTTTTAGTATTTAAAGTCCTGCTTTGTGTCAATTTTACTGTTTTTGTTAATGTGGTTATTTTAAGGGAGGAGGAATTGGGCTCTATGAATACGCTGACTTTTAGTGTTCATACAGTTAGGGTGACTTTGGGAGGCATGGTAGCTCTTCTGAAGTGGGCTGCAGCCACTCAGTGAGTCTCATTTCTGAGTTTAGGGAAGAAAAAGATATAAAAGTCTTGTTATGAACTTTCTTCCTCCCCTCCGTGTCCCTCAATTTTTCCACTTGCAGGCTTTGCTTGGAGTGGAGTAGTGAGCATTGCAGAATGAGCAGACCCCGGCTAATGTGGCAAGCAAGAGGGAAATAGTTCTTTTTTTGGGAACACAGTCACAGACATAAAGCAGCAAGTTTCAAAACACTTAATGTAAATAACTGCAAATTTAGGTTGGAAGCTCTGTTTTTCTACTTTATGACCCATTGCACCTTTTGGAGTGTCTGAGTCAAAGTTTACTTTGGAATTTTGAAGTCTTGGTTTCATGAACTGGCAACTCTGAGAAGTCCATGCATTTAAAGATATGTCCTCTCATCCTTTGGTATGTAGGTATACAGAGAGAAATATCTGAGAACTACAAACACAGAGGAAAATGCTTTTTTTATAAAAAAAAACCTTAAAGTTTGAGTTTTTTCCTAAACTTCAGAAAAAAACTTGTGTATAAAATATAAGTAGGATGGGAGCATGGGAAAGGCACTGTGTCAGTGAAGGAATGTGGTTGTCCAGGGACCGTTGAAGACCCTGCTGTTGTTTCCCTGTGAATCTCTGATATTTTTCAGATAACATCTGCTATACTGGTTCAGAGGTCCTGAAATGTAAATATAAATAGCTGGTATCACAGCCATGTTTATAAAATCTCACTGCTGCCAGAATGATTATTCAGCCACTGTGGTATCACGGTACTGCTCCAGTGGTACTGGAGAGAGACTTCTGCAAAGCCTGTTCTTCATAAGCCCCAATGTCTTTGTGAGGGTAATGGTGCCTGGGTGCTGTGTGTGCCTTAAATATTAGAAAATGTGGGATAACTGACCAAACAGATATGAATATCATTTACCATTTCCTTGTCAGTGATTTTTTCTGGTCTAATCTCTTGTGTTAGGTTAAATTTTTACTTGGAGTTGAAGGTAGTTTGTGATGTTCTTGCTGTAGAATTAGGAATGACTGTATTATCCAATGTCAAATCCTCATACTCTTTCAAGAGGAATGGGACAGTTCCCAAATATGCTCAACTAAGTCTCTTTATTTATAGTTTCCCATTGTTTTGTGCACCCTGGCTTTCACTAGGTTCTAGCAACTTTGCTCCTATTTTCTTTGTAAGGCTGATTTATTTTCCATATATGTTCAAGCAAATAAAAAAAAAAGGTTGTAGTTGAAGAGCTCTTTAACCAAGGGCCCACAGATTAGACCTGGATGACCTGGGAGATTGCAGGTGGACACCAAAAGTTTGGTCATCTTGTAGTACCAGACTTATAGAGGAAAAGCCAGTCTAGCTTAGTCAGCCCGTGATCATTTTCTTTAATATGAGGAATAAATAAATGGCTTGGGTTTTTTGGCCTGGAGAGAAACAGCTCACGTAGTATGTGAAAAAGGTCTGTAAAACATTAATGCAGAGCAAGTGTGACTAGGGAATGACTCTTCATGGTTTCTCATAGTATGGGAGCCAGAGAGAATGAAAGAGTGTGTGGGGACAGACACGAGGAGGTACTTGTGTTGTGCATTGAAATCAGAACACATCACCACTGGAGCTTGTAGTCATGGAGTTTCTCACTCAGTAATGACAAAAATGATTGGAAGATAAATCCTTCCAGGATGTCTGGCTGCTGAGGAGTCCCCAGTGCCTTGGACATCTTGGAGATGCAGAAAGCAGAGAGA